CCCTTGATAGATCAATTGTCAACCTAGACTATGGTACCCACCAACGCTATCCTTATAATTGAGGGATAAATAAAAACCAGGTGTTGGTGGCTCATGCCTGTAATCCTAGCTACTCAGGAGGCTGAAGTCTGAGGATCAATGTTTGAAGCCAGCCTGGGGAAGGAAAATCTCTGAGACGCTTATTTCCAATTAACCACCAAACCCTGCTTCCCACAAAACTCAAGTTAGAAGCGGCACTGTGGCTCAAGTAGTAGAGTGCTAGCCTTGAGCAATGAAGCTCAGGGACAGCACCTGGGACCTGAGTTCAAGCTGCAGGACTGGAACAAAAAGGAAGGAAGGAAGGAAGGAAGGAAGGAAGGAAGGAAGGAAGGAAGGAAGGAAGGAAGGGAGGGAGGGAGGGAGGGAGGGAGGGAGGGAGGGAGGGAGGGAGGGAGGGAAGGAGGGAGGGAGGGAGGGAGGGAGGGAGGGAGGGAGGGAGGGGGAGGGAGAGAATGAGGGGGGGAGGGAGGGAAAAAGCTCGGAAGGAACTAGGAATAGAAGGAACATCCTTGAACCTAATAAAGGCCATATATCACCAACCTATAGCCAATATCACATTAAATGACAAAAAATAACCTCAAATAATTTCGCCTGAAGTCAAGAATGAAGTATGTCTATTCTCCTCATTGTATTATTTATTTATCTCTAATTAATTGTATAAAGTTGTTTTAATTCAATGTGCCAGTTTGAGTCCAATGTATCTAGATCAATATTATCTTTTCCATTGTGTTTTTTTTCCATTTCTCCCAATCCGAACCATCCCATTAAGTTATCTGGTTCCATTTTCACCTTGAACATTGCATCTGTTTTTGCCTGCCTTTCCTCGCTCCATTCATTCCCTCCCCTGTCCCCTGACCCTCTTCTGACATCACATGGCCCACTTTGATTCAATATGGTACTAGGATTCCAGAGCAATAAGGCAGGATAAAGAAAAAACTCAAAATCATCTTTATTTACATGTGTGGAGATGTAACAGTGAACCCCCACTCATGTTAATTGATATAAGCCAATGCATTTTTAAAAATTATCCCTACTAGTTGATTATATTATCCTATACTTAACAGGCCCTATAAGCTTTACCAACCCCCCCCCCCAAAAAAAAACCCCTAGATCTGATAAAGACCCATGGAAATGTACCAGGACATAAAATTAACATTCAAAAATCAGTAGCATTTCTATATGCCAACAATGAACAAGCTACAAAAGAAATCAGGAAAACAATTGCATTTATAATAGCTTCAAGCCAGGCGCTGGTGGCTCATGAACCATGACCGACAAAAATAAATAAGCATAATAGCTTCAAAATAATAAAATATATACATATTGACAATCAAGGAATTGAAAAACCTCTGCAATAAAAACTAAAATCTTTGAAGAAATTGGAAATAGGTACCGGAAATGGAAAGACCTCTCACGCTCATAGGTTGGCAGAAATTACTATTGTGAAAATGGTCATATTATCAAATGCGATGTAATGGCATACCCATCAAAATCCAATGATTTGTTGCAGAATTATGGAAATTAATCCAAAAGTTCATACGAAGTCATAAAAGACACTGAATGACAAAAGCAATTCTAAGTACAAATTGGAGGTATTACAAATTATACTACAGAGCTAATAGTAACAAAACGAGTTTGGTACTGGCACAAAATACCAACGAATGGAAGGCTAATAGACCAATGGAACAGTGTGAAAGACCTAGGAACAAAACAACACAACTACAACAAACTACTGTTTTTGTTTTCTTTTTGGGGTCCGGTCATGGGGCCTGAACTCTGGGTCTGGGCACTATCCCTCAGCTCTTTAGCTCAAAGATAGCTCAAGGATAGCGCTCTACCACCTGAGCCACAGCACCACTTCCGGCTTTTTTGCTTTTTGCTTATGCGGTGCTGAGGAATTTCCGAACCCAGGGCTTCAGGCATGCAAGGCAAGCGCTCTACCACTGAGCCACCTTCCCAGCCCAACAAACTACTGTTTGATGAGGAGCCAAGAACATTCAAGTGAAGAAAAGACAGCTTCCTCAACAAAACGGTGCTGGGTACACTGAGCATCTACTTGCGGGAGACTGAAACTGGACTTTTGTCTTTCATCCTATACAAAAATCAACTCCAATTGAATCAAAGAACTCAAAGATCTAAAACTTTAAATGTATAGGAAATATGGGAAACATCCTAGAGGTTAGACACAAGTCAAGCTTTTTCAGATTAGGACTCCAATTTCCCAGAAAACAAGTACAAGAATGGGTAACTGGGAATATATCAAAGACTTGATGAACAGCAAAAGGAACCATCATCAGAACCAAAAGACAACCCATGGAATGAAAGAAAATCTTCACCAACTATTCAACAAATAATGGGTTAATAGCCAGAGTATGCAAAGAACTCAGAAAATTAAACAGCAAGGTAACAACTAATGTAATCAATAAATTTACAAGCTAACAGTTCTCACAGAAGAAATATAAATGGCTAATATAATGCCTAATAGATGAATGGCTAATAAAATGTAAATGGCTAAGTAATGATCAACATCCTTAGCCATAAAGGAAATGCAAATCAAAACTACACTAAAATTGCATCTTACCCCAGTCAAAATGGTAGCCATTTAGAAAACAACCACAAATCTGATGATGATTCAGGGAAAAATAAAAATTCTCATACAGTGTTGTGAATATCAACTAGTGCAACCATTATGTAAGTCAGTATAGAGGTTTCTCACAAGACTAAAAATAAATCTTCCTTATAGTCATGCCATACCACTATTGGGCATATATCTGAAGGAAGGTAAATCAATATACCAAAAGATATCTGCATGTTCATGTTTATTATAGCACAATGGATTAATGATGAAATAGGTTGAGGTACCAATCAAGAGGGCAATGGATAAAGAAAATATGAAATATTATATATATTCATATATATGTGTGTGCATATGTACACATACATATGCATGTATATACATATATTCATATGTAAACTAACTTTCTGGTAGTTTATACTGTTCATATGTATATATGTATGTATATTAGTCATATAATGTGAATAGTACACCACAATAAAGAAAAATGAAATCATATTGTTTGCAAGGAATTGGACGTAATTAGAGGTTGTCATATTAACAAGCCAAATGTATGTTTTCACTCATAGGTGAAAGATAGATTTAAGAAATATACATGTTTGTGGACATGCACATATATATCCACATACATAATTATTTATATGGATAAACTTACAACCTGAATCAAACTAAGGAAAAGAGCATAAAGAAATTTGATGTAAGATTTTTTCTAGTTTTGGTGGTTTTGTGTGTGTGTGTGTGTGTGTGTGTGTGTGTGTGTGTGTGTGTGTGTGTGTGCGCCAGTATTGGGGCTTGAACTCAGATCCCAAATTCTCGCTTGACTTTTTCCACTCAACAGATGACACTCTACCACTTGAATCACACCTCCACAGCTTTTTGCTGGTTATTGGAAATAAAAGTTTCACAGGCTTTTTACCCTGGTGCTTCTAACCTCAACTTTCAGAAGTCAGTCTCCTGAGTAGGTAGGATTACAGGCAAGAGCTAGTAGCACTCAGCTTTCAATGTAAGTTGCTGATCAATAGGGAAATGGTGAAAGAAAAAGAGAAATAAACTGTGTCTGTGGGTGAGGGTTGGGCAAACAAAGAGGATGAAGGAGTTTGAATATGGTTGAAGTAGATTATTTACAAATATGAAAAATAGAACAATGAAACCACTTGAAATTGTTTTCAGAATTGGTGTACAGGAATAGACACTGTGATAAAGGGGGTGATACTGATTGGAATATATTACAGACATATGTGGAAATGTAACATTAAAAATTCTGTCCACCCCCAAGTGTAAATAACGTAAATAAATAAGCTACTAAAAAGTTCACATCATTATCAATATCACTTGCACCCAAATAAATTCAGATAGAATAAAAATTAGGTGGGGAAATGCCAATTATCTTTTTATGCTGTTATAAAAAAAATAGTTCTGTAGAAGTTTGTTTTATTGCTGAATAAGAACCATAGAAAAGCGTTAGCCATTGTCTTTATCGGACAACTCATTAGAAAGCGTAATGGCAATAATCCCAATCAAAGTAAAGAGTTAAATAAGAATTAATGAAGCTTATAGAAACTAGGCTATGAGCCTCTGATTGAGAGCAAGAAGAATGTAGTAGGGATGAGAGTGGAGGGTTTACAGTCCAAACTTCTAGGTGTGCGGGGAAGTGTGAAACACAATAGAAAGATTTCCTGCGTGGAGGGGGGAGGAAAATGTCACGTATTGTTGCATATTGCTTCAATGTTGAAATAGTAATACTTCTGATATGTGGGGTTGAATAAAATTAATTCTTAAAATGGATCTGTTTCGTGTGTGTGTGTGTGTGTGTGTGTGTGTGTGTGTGTGTGTGTGTGTGTGTGTGTGCGCCAGTTCTGGGTACTGAAGTCAGTCCCATGCTCTGGCTTGGCTTTTTGGCTCACAGTTGGCACTCTACCACTTGAGCTATGCGTGCAGTTCCAGATTATTGGTAGTTTATTGGCGGCAAGAGTCTCACAGACTTTCCTGCCACGACTAGGTTTGAACTGGGATCTCCAGACGTCAGCCTCAAGAGTAGGTTAAGATTACAAGCATGAGCCACAAGCACCCGACCGTTTTTACTTCAATGGGATGAAAGGATGAACAATTTACAGAGCGCTAAACAGGGTGTCAGGTGCAAGAGTCGAACAGACTGTGAGCAAAGCAGCCACGGTACGGGCCACGCCCACACACTCCAGAGGGTGGCGCCAAGCGCTGCGTGCGCTTCTGTGAGAGAAAGCAGAAGATGCGCATGCGCAGTCTCACCACAACTGTGGCCGAGTTAGCCAATGGGATTCACCAGATCTGTGGCGCGCGCCTCCTGAGTCCTGGCACCGCCCCTTCCCGTCCCAAGGTCCCGGACGCTACGGGTTGGTGCACGGGTGGGCGGGTTCTAGCGGCGCGGCCTGACGAGACTCGGCGGCGGGAGTCTGCGGGTTTTTTTTCCCTCTCAGCGGTGGCCTGGGAGGCACGCACGCGGTGTAGCGCAAGATGGCGGATGCAGAAGGTAAGGGTTGTGGGAGGTCGAGGCGGGAGACCTGAGCTGCCCTGGTGATCTCAGGGGACAGCAGCGGGGAGGTGGTGTCGGTCGCGGCCCATTCCCTCCTGCGGGTAAGCTGTCGCCCCCGCGGGCCTCAGGCCAGCGCTGGGTGAGCCTCGGCCCCAGGTGGGAGAGCCCGCCGGGAGACTTGGCGTGGCGTCTAGGCCTCCCTCCGATGACTATCCGCGTAGGGCCCTGTGACCCCGTGGTGAACGGAGACATGGCAACCCGACCCCCATCGGTCCAGTTGCTGCCCTTAGCGCCGGGAAATGAGGGGAGCAACTCTGCAGGGAAAGTGTTGGGAAGAAAAGCTCCGGGATCCCGGAGCGGGTGTAGTACAAGGTTGCAGCCGCGTGGTCGCCTATGGAACTTTCCAGCCTGAGAGCGAGCGATCCTGGGCTTTTGGCCCTGTCGCAGCAACGTGGAGGGGAACCGGAAGGGAAGGGAAGGCAACACGTGCGCCACACAGCCTGCACAGCCCCAGCCTGGCGGCCCATGTGCTCAGCCACACACGCTTGAGTTTTCTCTAGTAATGCTCAACTTAAAGCCCTCTTCTGTCTGCCCTGCTTTTGGCCTTTAAACTTCGCCTCATTTGTTTTCAAAGCAAATTGCCCAATCTCATTTCTCTAGTGACTGTTTTGCCAAAGAAGCATAAGAAGAAAAAGGACCGGAAGCCATTACAAGAAGATGATGTAGCTGTGAGTAGAAATGGGTTTCACTTAGCTTTGATTTTAAGTTCAACAACAAACTAAAAGTTTTTAAATGTTTCCAAATAGTAGTGGTGTGGAAGCAAGAAAGCACTGAAATGACACAGCCTGTTACCCAGCATGCGTAGTTCACTAAATTTTAGTGTTAGTTACGTTGCTTCTTTTTTTTGAGGGGGGGGGGGGGGTCTGGTCATGGGGCCTGAACTCTGGGCCTGGGCGCTGTCCCTCAGCTCTTCAGCTCAAGGCTAGCGCTCTACCACTTGAGCCACAGCGCCACTTCCGGCTTTTTTTCTTTTTGCTTATGTGGTGCTGGGGAATCGAACCCAGGGCCTCGTGCATGCCAGGCAAGCGCTCTACCACCGAGCTACCTTCCCAGACCCGAGTTAGCTACATTTCTTTTCCTTATCCCATCCACAAAGCATTATTATTGTTGTTGTTTGTTGTTGTTGTTGTTATTCCCACATCAGTGGTACTTCTCCCTGGATCATTTCTTTTTGAGGTCTTGAGGTCCAGTGAAGTTCCTGACCCTGGTTTCTGTTTAAAAACATGCAATTCAGTTGTAGTAACAGAGTTGTTCAAAATCAGGTGTGAAGTTTCATGGCTTATATTTCTGTCTTGTTGAAGGAAATACAATATGCTGAAGAATTTCTTATCAAACCAGAGTCCAAAGTGGCTCAGTTGGACACTTCTCAGTGGCCCTTGTTGTTAAAGGTATGTGCTTGTGTGCCTAGACAAATGCCTGGATTTTACTTATTGTTAAAAAAGTTAAGAATGCTTGCTGATAGCACTTTTCACTTTAGTAAATGCAGCATAAACCACTATTATCCTCAAGAGAGCTGAGATGGAATACCAGGTTACATAGAAATTTCTAACATGCTCAGCAAAGTGTACGTGTCAGCTATGTAGCTTAGAGAAAAAAGGCTATTTAGATACCCCTTGGCATGCTAAATGAATCGTGTATGTGGTGGTAAAAGACTGAGGTTTGCTTATATTGTTCAGCATCAGTCAAACTGAACAAATCAAAAGTGGGCTTCACTTGGTGAGTTCTTCCCCACTGGTGGTCAAGCTTTGGAGAGGAGACTGAAAAGAAGCAGACGTGAAAAGCACACATGGGGGCATCTGGAGCAAAACAGCTCATTATGTTAAAAAAAAGTTGCCATTTATCCTTAATTTGGCTTTTTTCCCTAAGAAAATGAATGCTAGTCCATATTTTATTCATGCTCTTGCACAATGAAGCCTAATCCGCTTAGTACTGCCCCCAACAAGCCTTTTTCTACAAAATGCCATAAACTGATAAGTGTTCAAATTAGTCTTGTACTTAATGGTATTGGGAAATTTCTCAGTATAAGTCTGTCATAGCAAATAATAGTATTAACATAGGAGTGGAACTCTATGGAGCTTGCATTTCTTGTTTGATGTGGTGCTGACTGTTTTATATATTTCAGTGATGCATTAGTAAGTCAACTTCAGGTTGTATTGTTGCTTTCCAGAATTTTGATAAGCTGAATGTAAGGACAACACACTATACACCTCTTCCTTGTGGTTCAAATCCTCTGAAGAGAGACATTGGGGACTACATCAGGTAAGTCTTTCTCAAGTGAAAGCTTCATATTCATTATTCAAGGAGATACTGAAGTATATGTCCTATGCCTTTGATGAGTTTTTCTTTCTAACTCTTAAAGAGCACAAGACCAGGTGGTACATTAACCCTTTTTCCACTCTAGGACAGGTTTCATTAATCTTGACAAGCCCTCTAACCCCTCTTCCCATGAGGTGGTGGCCTGGATCCGACGAATACTTCGGGTAGAGAAGACAGGACATAGTGGCACCCTGGATCCCAAGGTGACTGGGTGTTTAATTGTGTGCATAGAACGAGCCACTCGCTTGGTGAAATCACAACAGAGTGCAGGTATGTGGAAAAGGGCATGAAGAAGTATTTAGAGATTGTAAGGCATTCTGCATTTGTCTCCCTTCTGTATTTTGGCTCTTGGGCTCCATTAGCAAAAGTCTTGTTGCAGGGTTATTCTTTTGCTTTCTATGTACCTTATGTCCTCTGGCAATTCCTGGTGAGTCTGCCCTTGTTTGGAGTTCTAATACTAGACATGTGCACATTCCTACTATAGGAACAGAATTCTGTCTGTCTCTGAGCTTGTTGCTCCTGACTTCTCACTGAGCCTGTTTCTTCCTCAAGTGTCCTGTCCTTTCATGTGAAAAAAATTCTCCTACTTCTAAGGGTTTTCCAGTCAGGCTGTAGACTAGGTATTCCACCTGTCCCTGTGTTTATCAGCACACTGAGCATTGAGTTGCACTTGGGGGAGTGGGGAGGATCTCGCTAGAATTTGGGATGCTCTTGTCTCAGCCTGCCAAGTGTTGGCATTCTGGGCATGCGTCAATACACCACATTTGGCTGGAGAAAGTATCTTCGTTTCTTTTTCTCATCAACATTGTATAATCTTGCTTCATACTAATTTTAAGAAAACATGACATCAAATTGCCTGCTTTCTCACTGTGAAATGGCAGTGGTTGAGCATATAAAAATGGCAGATATAGAAAACTCAGTGGCCACACCTGACTACTCTTTTGTCATTTTTCAGGCAAAGAGTATGTGGGAATTGTCCGGCTGCACAATGCTATTGAAGGGGGGACCCAGCTTTCTAGGGTAAGTCTGCAACTAGAGAGAGGGCACGTTTAGTGACTTGGGAGTATGAGCCCTTAAACTTCCAACTTGCTTTGTCTTGTTGTCCTTTAGACTCCTAAAATATGCTCTTTCATTTGAGAGGTCACCTAATAGAGTGTTTTTGTTTGTGCTTCTTCTTAGGCCCTGGAAACACTGACAGGAGCCCTATTTCAGCGACCCCCGCTCATTGCTGCCGTAAAGAGGCAGCTCCGAGTGAGGACTATCTATGAGAGCAAAATGATTGAATATGATCCCGAAAGAAGGCTAGGTGAGTCATTAGGGGACTTGCTATAGACCCACAGTGGGTAGGAATGCATGCTTGAAGATTCCATCCGCAGGTACTCCTAGCACATTGTGTAGTCACTGCCTGTGTCTGTTATCTCTAGTTGACTTAAGATGGAGAATAATGATTTTCTCCACTAGTGATTATTTATGGTTGGACATAGGTGCTACTTTCCTTTTGTGTGTGTTTCTTAGGAATCTTTTGGGTGAGTTGTGAGGCCGGCACCTATATTCGGACTCTGTGTGTGCACCTTGGTTTGTTGCTGGGAGTTGGTGGTCAAATGCAGGAACTTCGGAGGGTTCGTTCTGGAGTCATGAGTGAAAAGGTATTCCATTATTGGGCTAGAGGTTTTAGTTTCAGAACTGATCCTTCTTAAATGTCTCCCAGCATTCCTAGAATGCTGCACCATTCTAGGAAAGATAACTTCCAAAGTGTTGAGTTCAGTTCAGGGCAGCTTCCCCTGTTCTGTTAATTAAATTTTGGAATATTGAAATTGGCTCGGGGAGAAGACTGGGTAGAAAGTATTATTCTATTCATTTACTTCCCAGCCTACAACATGTCTGCCCAGTCATAGAGCAGTGCCCTGGGTTCCATCCCCAGTGGTACAAAAGAAAAATGTGCCTACTTAGATCTGCTATAGGAACAGTTAGAGATGCCCAGAAGACAGCCAACTCTAAACAAACTAAGATTAGTGATGAGTTTGGAATAGCAAACAAATTTCAGCTAGAATCAGATTTTGGAGGTTTGGTGTCCAGTGAGTGTTTGAGATAAGCAAATACTGAGTTTCTTTCACACCTGGCTGCTTTTCAGGACCACATGGTAACAATGCATGATGTACTTGATGCTCAGTGGCTGTATGATAACCATAAAGATGAGAGTTACCTCCGGCGTGTCATTTATCCTTTGGAAAAGCTGTTGACATCTCATAAACGACTGGTTATGAAAGATAGTGCGGTAAGCTCTAGAATAAGTCCATATTTGCATGGTCTATTATGAAAGCATGAAAATGTCAGTCTTTTAAAAAGATGAAACTTTGGCATTACAAGTTCATATTTATTGTTAGTTTGAATTTCTTAGTAAGGCGGTTAAAGGGTGAGTTAATTTGTATTATCAGAGAATGTTGCCTTTCATAAATTAAAATTGTCTTTCTGGTCTGGTGTATAGAGTACTGTATAGCCATAGTTGTTGAAGAATAGAAATGACAGTTGATGATTTAAGATCAATAAATTATTCATATTCAAGTCTTAAATCGCAGACATTTGGTTTTTTTATATTATATGGCCCACAGTAAAAAAAAAAAAAAGAAAGTACGCTAAAACATGGCATTTAATAGGAATTGAAAGCATTTAATGAGATAAAGAGTGAAGTGGGATAGCTTTGATATGCCTCCCTGTGCTGGAGTTGGCTTCTGGGTGAGTTTAAAAAGAGGGTGGAATGTCATCACATATGAGATCTAAGTAATTGAAGGAAGGATGGGTGCATTGAGTGCTATCAAACTGGAGAGGTGGCCTTAACGGTGGCCTGTAAATGCTATACCAGAACTTGTCTGTAATTGAACAGGCCTAGTAATTTTCTCTGCTAGTTATTTTGGGAGCCTGTTAAAGCCTGGATCTTCTGTAAAGGAGAAGCAATTCTGGAAAGCTAAGGCTAGTTTGTTTTAGGTCCAATGGAAAAAGTGGACACTAAAAACTTCAAAAGTGGGGCTGGGAAGGTGGCTCAGTGGTAGAGTGCTTGCCTTGCATGCCTGAGGCCCTGGGTTCGATTCCTCAGCACCACATAAGCAAAAAGAAAAAAGCCGGAAGTGGCGCTGTGGCTCAAGTGGTAGAGTGCTAGCCTTGAGCTGAAGAGCTGAGGGACAGCACCCAGGCCCAGAGTTCAGGCCCGCGACCGGACCCAAAAAAAAAAAACAAAAAAACTTCAAAAGTCTGCTTAGCAATTTGGGTGTGTGTATAAAGTTCTTAGAGCAGTGCCTAGATTGCAACTGTTGCGTGTCTCTTCGTCCCTTGTGGTCAGTGGGCTATCAGTGCTGTTCTATTTCTTGCTGTCAAGCTACCTTCCCCATGTTCTCCCCTGTTCTGGTATGGAAATGAGGTGGGGGGCAGTAGCTGAGGCTCTCAATATGACACCATCCATACAGGTGAATGCAATCTGCTATGGGGCCAAGATCATGCTTCCAGGTGTTCTCCGATATGAGGACGGCATTGAGGTCAACCAGGAGATTGTGGTCATTACCACCAAAGGGGAAGCAATCTGCATGGGTAAGGGGATTGTTACCTTCATTAGTTCTGGATTTGGGGCTCATTCTACTCTTAACACTAGCTCACCGATTCAGTTCCTATGCCCTTGGGTTTCCTGTGGTCTCTACGGTGGAGGGACTGGCAAGTTAAGTACAAGTGAGGAGGTAGGTAGTATTGCACCCTTGACGCTCTCCAGGGCTTTACTGGTAAAGAGTGGTAATGGTTCCCTATATAGTAGTCAAAATGAGGGCCCTATGTATTTCATTCTTGTGTGCTTGCAGATAAAATGTAACTAGTATATATGATTTTTAATTTGTGACAGATTAGTTGGATTGTCTTCAGCATTAAAATGCTTGGTGACCTTTTCCCCCCTTCCCTTGCTGGTGGGGTTTGAACGCTGGGCCTCGCCCACTTATCTGGCTTTTTCACTTAGAACTGGCACTCTATTGCTTGAACTAGACCTCCACTTTCAGCATTTTGGTGGTTTATGGGAGATAGTCTGCTTGGGGTGGCTGTGAACATTGATTCTCCAATCTCAAGTCTCCTGAGTAGCTAAGTGTAGGCAGTATACTAGTACCCGGATGTGACTCTTAGTGAAGAAATCAGAGGTTTTGGTTACAGTCCTAATTTTTACCAGAAGTAGAGCATGTCTGTAGAACCCTTATGTCAATTCTGTAAGCAGGTGGGTCTGCCCTGGAAGGTTTCATCCCCATGGACAGTGGGAAAGGGATACCTAAGGATTCTGTGAACCACACCCTTGCCATGTCTATATTCTCTTACTTTGGTGTTGGGTGTTTTTTGTTTTTGGTCAGTCATAGACTTGAGTCTATGGGCTTGAACGCTGTGCCCTGAATGCTGTCCCTCAGTTCTTCAGCTCAAGGCTAGCGTTCTACCACTTGAGCCACAGGGCCACTTCCAGTTTTCTGGTGCTTTATTGGAGATAATAAAAGAGTTTCACAGCTTTTCCTGTCCAGGCTGGCTTTGAACCGTGATCCTCAGATCTCAGCCTCCTGAGTAGCTAAGATTACAGGCGTGAGCCAGTGAGCCACTGGCGCCTGGCTGGTTGGTTGTTTTTTAACTTGCTAAGTTTAACATCATTTGAAAAACTCCCTTCCTGTAAAGGAAGGTTGTCTCCATAAGCACATTCTGAGCCTAGAATACTCAGTTAAGGTAGTAGACATGCCTATACCATCTCCTCAGGAAGTGTAGGCAGGAGGACCACAAGTTTAAGGTCAGCCTAGGCAAAATTAGCACAATTCTATCTCAAAAACAATAGGGTGCTGGCCCTAGTTCAATCCTCAGCAATACATATACACACAATGTAGTAGAGCTCAGAGCTTTAAATGGTTTAAGTTTAGGCATAGAACAATTGGGGCTCAACAATAACCACATCTTTCTACTTTAAATTATTAGCTATTGCATTAATGACCACAGCTGTGATTTCTACCTGTGACCATGGTATAGTAGCCAAGATTAAGAGAGTTATCATGGAGAGAGACACTTACCCTCGCAAGTGGGGTTTAGGTCCAAAGGTAAGTAGAACTGGGCTGTTTTGTGTTGTTGAATGCACACTTAGTCATTTCTTTGTGTGTCCCTACTGCCATAACCTCTTACTGTTCTAGACTCTGGATAGTTGGTGGTGGTCAGAGATAGGCTCTGTCTTGGACCTTAAGAGATTTTCAGTCTAATGGAGAATAACTTGGCATTACTTAAATAGTTGTACAGTAAGGTAGTGAATTTCAGCCATGGTAAATGGCTGTCAGGGATGCAGAGACATCTCCAGCATCTGGGGAGTCTTCAGTGAGTTTAACTTTGTCAGGGGGTTGGGCAGTGTTTTTCAGGGAAGATCTACAGCAGAGTATGAGCCCCTGCTGAGATATAAAAGGGAGAAACCTCGTGCCATTCTGTGCAAACTGGGTCTATGGCATAACGTTCGTTACAATGCCTGCTTTCTGTATTGACACCTTTCTAACAATGAAACCCCATATTTCCCCAGGCAAGTCAAAAGAAGCTGATGATCAAGCAGGGCCTTCTGGATAAGCATGGCAAACCTACAGACAGCACCCCTGCCTCCTGGAAGCAAGAGTATGTTGACTACAGGTGAGTAAAAGTTTTGTTGAGGACTATAGAGAAGAGATACTTGCCATTTGGGCATTGTTGATGGATAAGGACAGGAGTTCACAGAGCCTACGGGATACAGGTAGGACTGACTTTGGGCAACGTTTTGGAATGCTGGACCAGTAAGACCCAGTACTGTAGATGGCTTTTTCTTTACTGGACTTTGTGAGGCTTGGATCAGGTATGGTTGGGCCTGCACAGCAGGTAAGCATTTCTTTCTAGTCTTGCTCATGGGTTCTTCTTGTCAGTTGTCAGTGGGTGTTTGTGTGTATGTGTCCTGGGGCTTGAACTTGGGGCCTGGGTGCTGTCCCTGAGCCTCTTTTTCAAGCTAGCACTCTTACCACTTGAGCCACCACTTCCAACTTTATGGTAGTTTGTTGGAGGTAAGTTTCACGGGCAGGCGCCAGTGGCTCTTGCCTGTAATCCTACCTGCTCTGGAGGTTGAGATCTGAGGATCTCGATTCAAAGCCAGCCAGGGCAGGAAAGTCCGTGAGGCACTGTGACTCAAGTGGTAGAACACTCCTCTTGAGCTGAAGCGCTCAGAGACAGCACCAGGCCCAGAGTTCGAGCCCCATGACCGACCACAAAAAAAAAAAAATTTCATGGACTTCCCTGCCTAAGTTGAGTTCAAAGTGTGATCCTCAGATCTCAGCTTCCTGAGTAGCTAGGATTACAAATATAAGCCAGCCCATGTTTTGGAGGTGGCTTTAGCTTTATCCAATATCATTGATTAGGTGGGGGGGGGGGCAAGGGAGGCAGCAGAATTACAATGGAAAGCTTTTTTTGACCTCTTAATGTGTTCTTTCAGTGATTCTGTCAAAAAAGAAGTGGTTACTCAAGCAGAAAAAGGCCCACAGTTAGTTGCTGAAGTGGTAAAAGTTCCGCAAGTAGTTGCTGAAGCAGTAAAAGTCACAAAGGTGAGTGGTGTGCTATGATGTTTGGAATGTGCTCCAAGAGACGATTATAAGCACCACCAGTGTTTGACTTACCTACAGTGTATCAAAAATGTCCTGGCTCAGCAAGGTTACTTGCCCTCCTCCTTGCTGTGGTATATACACAGATCGTGCCTCATACCTTGGGGTACATGTTTGGCCTTAGTGGGCTTAAGAATCAGATTTACTGACCTTGCCTCCCACCTCAGTTATGTCAATAACACTGGATAGAACGGGTGTCACACATAATTCTAGCTCCACCTTAGGTCAAGTGGTAGTATAGGTATGTTGAAATCAGGTCCATATCAAAACGAACTGGTCAGCACCAATCCTCTTCATTTTAAGTTGCAGCTTAGCTTCCAGTGATTGAGGACTGCTAACTTTAGAGCCCAGAATGACATCTGTACTCCGAATCCTTGGGTGGTGCTGGAAGACCTATAACAAGCTGTGTACACAGAACTTGTCTGATGTGAATTCTGGCTTTGCTTGCTTTCTTTAAGGACTTAAGATAGTACTTTGTAAATCATGTAATCCATTCTTTGAGAAGAGCAGCTTCTCGGGGCTTTTTATCCTCCAAGCCCCATGCTGTTGCTGTGGTGCTCCTGTCATGCCTCATGGCTTCCTGGACTTGTAAGATGAGACTGTCTTTCCTGGGGTCTGGTGGCTCACTCCTGTAATCCTGAGATCTGAGGATTGCAGTTTGAAGCCAGTTTGTCAGGAAATTCTGTCAGACTTATCTCCAGTTAGCACCAAAAAAGCTGGAACTGGCACTGTGGCTTGAGTGGTAGAACACTAGCCTTGAGCACAAAAGTTCAGGGACAGTGTCCAGGCCCTGAGTTTAAGCCCCAGGACTGGCTCCCTACAAAAAAAAAAAAAAAAAAGATTGTCTGCAAGCTCTGAGTAAATTACAGTGCTTTCCGAGTTTGTAAACAAAAAACTTTCTTTGATTCATGTCTCACTTTTTAAAGTGTGTGTGTGTGTGTGTGTGTGTGTGTGTGTGTGTGTGTGTGTGTGTGTGTGTGTGTGTGTGTGTGTGTGTGTGTGTGTGTGTGTGTGTGTGTGTGTGTGTGTGTGTGTGTGTGTGTGTGTGTGTGTAGAACCTAGGACCTTGGGCACGCTACATTTTGACTGACTTATCCATTATTGCCCACGATTTACCTTTTGACCAATTGTTTTCATCTCAGCGAAAGCGAGAGAGTGAGAGTGAAAGTGATGAGACCCCTCCAGCAGCTCTTCCGTTGATCAAGAAGGAAAAGAAAAAGAAGAATAAGGACAAGAAAGCCAAAGCTATGCTAGAGAGTGGGGGCGAACCTGGAGATGGGGTTTGTATAAACACTGGCTCCTTGGGTTGACCTGGCCCTTGGTTGTGGCAAGAATTAGCCAGTGGTATTGGCTTTGTAACTCGTGGAGGAGTCATGGCCTCCTGTTGATAGTATAGTGCCTAGGGCTCCCTAGGTGGACAGATAGAAAGTCTGTTGGTGGTGGGGGCAATATATATAGTTTGATTGAGCTTCTTTATGAAAGTAGACTTATAGGACTTCACTAGAAAGCTCACAGAACTTATTGTCACATGAAAAATACAAAACCTACTCAATTCCAAATTTTATAGATCCTGATAAGGCTTGTCTATAGTTCACCACATGTCCTTTTGGGAGTCCTAATTGGTTTGTTAATAAATGCTCTGAGCTTTTTCTTTTTCTTTCTAGGACAGTGATACCACCAAGAAGAAGAAAAAGAAGAAGAAAGCAAAGGTGGTAGAAGTGGCATCTGACTAGTAAAGGCTGCTGTAAGCATTGCGTCCAGCTGGGAAGAAAAAGCCTTGTTGTAAAAACAGTTTTAGTTAAGGGAATGGAACAAAGGTCCAGAACAGGGCAGAGTTGTACACTTTGCTGCTACTTGAGACCTCAGTGGTGTTACCTGGTGTGGCTCATGCCATCGTGTCCTGTTTTAAGGATATGGGTGATGAAAGAGGCAGACCTTATGCCATCAACTTCTCTGCTTCAGTTGGGAAGCCTCACCTTCAGACCTAGTACTGTCCAGTGGAACTGCAGCTACTAAAGGCCATTTTAAACAACCTCACAGTCCTTTCCTAGTTTGGTTTTTTAAGCCCCCCTCATTTAAAAAGTCCATATATGTTAAGACTGCTCTATGAAATAATATAAAACCCTCTAAGTGAAAGGTGTAACTGAGTCACATGTTCACTGGGCACAGCTTGCCTGCAGTGTCCTGTGAGGACAGCGATACAGTGTGGTGTAGGTGTGGACCGCTAAGGCTTGGGTGGTATCTATCTTCTCTTTGGCCCAGTTCTCAGTCTTTTGTACACTTCTCCAAAACTTCCATACAGCAGATTTATCCCATCCATCTGGCTACTTGTGTTTGTGATGGAAGCTGCACTGTCCTGTCTCCTCGTGTTTAACCTTTATTTACTGTTGAACAGATTTGCTCATTGCTGGGAGAAGAATTATGGTTTTTACTTATTAAAATTAACTCATGACATTTTAAAAGTATTCCTGTTGGGTTTTTTTGTTAGTGATCTCAGACTGGCAGAACAAAAAAATATAAAATATTTTGGTTAAAACCCTAAGTCCTAGCTGGGTGCCAGTAGTTCATTCCTGTAATCTTAACTACTCAGGAGGCTTAGATGTGAGGGTCATGGTTCAAAGCCAGCCCAGACAAGAAGTCCATGAAACTCTCATCTCTAGTAAACTATGAAAAGGCTGGAAGTGGTGCTATGGATCAAGTTGTAGAGTGCTAACCTTGAAGAAAAGCTCAGGGACAGCGCCCGGGCCACAAGTTCAAGCCCTAGGACTGGCAGCAAAGAAAAAAATCGGGGAACTTACATAGCCTTGATTTGCAATTTGCTTTTCCTTTTATGGTTGGCTAGTTTTAAATATCTCTGATTCTGTCTCTATCTTACAACATTGACCTTAGGACCTTTCACCTGGAATCAAAGGACTGAGAGGAGAAAGCCAGGCAGATGTACTAGTGAGGAGTGAGTACTATGAAGGAACACATGCTGGTAGAGGCCTGTTGAAGCTGTCAATTCTGGAAGCTGGGGGTTGGGATGTTCAGGAATCTGAAGGCCTTAGTAATAATCGTTAGTGGGAAGCTCTGGAATTGCTTCCAGTTGGTTATCAGAAGTCAAGAAAATGCAAACAACTTTTGAGTACTGAGCCATGGGTTAAGCCGGGTAAGCACAGTGCACTGTGGTGCTGGCTCACCCAGCCCCCGCTTTCCCAGGCTAGGTTTTCTTAACCTTTTATATGGGGTTTTTAATAGGAAGCTTAAGTGTATGCCATAATGGGTTTCCACCCAGAGGAAACCTTAGGCTTAATGCAGGCACCAGAAGTGGGATGTACTCTGAAGATACGTGGCACAGATAACCCGGAGTTAAAAGACCATTGGTGTTTTAAGACGTATTTTTATTGCTTTTGAGGGTTTCCCTAGAACAGTCTATTGCACAGCTTTCATTTTGGCATTTTAGGAAGTTGCAAAAGATATTTGATTCAAAGGAAAAGAAGATGGAAAGATGCTGAGTTGAAGGTGAAGAGTTCAGGCTTCAGAAGGACAGGTGCCATTGCTTTATTTGTGTATCATTGATTAGCAGTTTCATTTCTATACTAACATTTCCAGAGATACTTTTGAATTCCAGATCGGTAGGGCCCTGCCCTTCAGGAGCTTGAGCAAGGACAGTTAGAGAGACAGAATCTGACACAACTAGTTGAAGCAGCCCTGTTTGATTTAAAGCAAGGGGAATGGCATTCCAAATGTTGGTGAAAGGGTTATAGTTTCCCATTCTGCAAGTTTAGTAGACCCAGGAGACAGGCACCCACTGTGGAGAGCTACACGCCAGCTCAAAGGCTTCTTGGAGCTTCTTAAGAGTTTCATCAACACCATTATTCACCAGTGAGAGGTCAAAGTAGTGAGCATACTGACTGCGGATGGCCTCAGAGTCCTTTTGCAGCTGCTGCAAGGCTTCAGTCTGCAAAGAAAGCCATGGATGAAGCAGTCATCAGTGCCTCTCCCACAGCCCAAACCAACAGTGGGTTTTACACAGGCATTTATTAGCATTGCCTGTCTCTGTCACCTAATTATTACTGTCTTTTGGGCTGGGATCAAACTCAGGACCTGGTATTTGCTTGGCAATTGCTCTGCTAAATTCAGCAGCCATAAAAAGGGCATAAGTAAAAACGTGCACATGGTGAAGATACACCAAATGGTTAAAAACATTTTCAGGTAATACCACGTGGCACCGTGGCTCAAGTGGTAAAGTGCTAGCCTTGAACACAGAAGCTCAGGGACAGGGCCCTGAGTTCAAGCCCAAGGACTGGCAAAAAAAATGTTCTTCGTCTTGACCTTGGTGGAAATGCAGGTGGCCAATGGCCCAGACTTAAGTAGACCTCTTCTGTTCTACATAGCTCCTTACCTGAGTGCCCTGGTCAGTAGGCGCGATGAAAACAATGAAAGGTGAAAGTTCTGCTGTCCGAACAATCTTCAGAGTCTAGAAAAAGGAAAAGGAGGAAGAAAATGAAAGAAAAAATGAATTCTTTTTAATACTTGGCCTAGGCTTTACCATCCCCATACTATTTTCCACTATTCTCAATACTACGGAACTCCAGATGTCTTGGAGCTTTTCTTTTGATCACTCCTCCATCTGCTAGATGGCTGATCCCATCACTCCTGTTTTTCCATGCCTACTTACCTGGGGCTCAATGTCAAGGATGGCAATTTTGTCTTGCTTATGAATCTGGTGCACGGTTTCAAATTTGGTCCCAAACATATTGCCCTGGTAGCTGCCAAACTCCAAGAACTCATTGGCGGAGATGCTCTTTGTCATCTCCTCTGTTGAAATGAAGTGATACTCCTTCCCGTCTTCTTCACTTTTTCTGGGTGGCCTCGTTGTATCTGTACAAGAACCCAAATCTATGATGAGCTCTGGCTCCATATCAGTCTGTATGGAAACTACCTGATTGGGGACAAGAGTGTGATCTAGGAGTTCCTCTTATGGGCCCCTGTAGGGCAGAACAGGAAATCTCCCATTTGCTGAGAATATAATTAACTTTTACACTTAATTATAACTTAGTCACCCTTGTATTGGTATCTTTAACATTTAAGAGGCAAAGCCCAATGTAAAAATATTTCTACCATGTTCCCTATAGGAAGTTAAACCTCTGAACCACCAAACTTGTCAGTATTGAAACTCAGAAGTGAAGACAGCTAAATTTTTAATTAGATCTCTGGGACATGGCACTGTGGCTCAAGTGGTAGAGTGCTAGCCTTGAGCTGAAGAGCTCAGGGACAGCACCCAGGCCCAGAGTTCAAGTCCCACGACTGACCAAAAAATAAAAAGATCTCTGGGCTGGGGTATAACAGCAAAACGCAAGAATGCGGTGTCTATACTAGTTATTTCTACTTCCAGACTTCCTCCATTCCTCAGCACACCGCTGCTTTCTGCCCCACTAAGATGACTTTTACTATGACCTTATGAGCAACTCTCAGTGACCCCTGTGTAAAAAGACAAGAATTAAGATTTAAAAAAACTCATCAGGTTCACAATTGACAATTCCACAAACTGAGATTGCACAACTGAACTGTGAAGGTTCAATTTGTTTCTGGTGGGTCATGGGGCTTGAACTCAGGGTGCTGTCCCGGAACTCTTGTTTGCTGCTAATGTTCAACATCTGAGCCACAGCGCCACTTCTGGTTTTCTGGTGGTTAATTGGAGAGAAGAGTCTCATGGGGACTTTTCTGCCTGGGCTGGCTTTGAACTGCGATCCTCAGATCTCAGCTTCCTGAATAGGATTACAGGTGTGAGATACAAGCACCCTGCTGAATATTCACTTTTGGGTGTAGAGTTGTCTAACTGCATGCTTGGCCATTGTCCCACATCTAGGAATGCCACCATGATCTGGCCTTTCCTAAAGCACTGCTTTGACTTAGAACTCTTCATGAGAATCAGAGGCAGCCTAAGTACTGAGCCATAGTGAGATAAGGAAATTATAGTATGCCCAATATCCAACTTAAGACTGTATCAGTGGACCATGAAATAGTTCTCAATGGGAATTAAGCAGAGAATGAAAAAATATTCGAAGCAATTGTGGGTGCACATTTTTATCTTGCCAAAATTTAGTTTTTCTCAAATGAAAGATGACATGGCCTCAAACCAAGAGAGTGCTAACTGTGCTGTACACATAACACTGATGCTGTGCTCTTCAAACTCTTCCCCTCTAAAATGGCCCAAAGTCACTTACATGGGGCAGGGTACACAAATTTCTCTGGATTCTGGCTGAGCAGGGCATTCTTAATGTGGCTGCGACCCACCCCACTGGCTCCTGTATGAGGAGAGAACAAAGCTGTGATTTTCTTTTCCCCCAAAAAAGACTAAGGCAGAGATGGGACAGAGGATAAGAAATGGATTATCATCTTGGTGCTCAAAATTGTTAACACATATGTAAGCAGGCAGTAGTGGCTCATATGTGTGATCTTAGCTACTGAGAAAACTAAGATGAAGGTTGTGGTTCGAAGCCACAAGTGGAAAGTCTGAGATTCTTATCTCCATTTAACCAGCAACAAGTCTGAAGTGGAGCTGTGGTTCTAGTGGTAGGAGTGCTTGCTCACTGGCCTTGAGCAAAAAAGCCCAGAGCACCCAGGCTCTTGAATTGGAACCCCAGGACCAGCACAAATGAATGCATGCACACAATTGTCAACTAGTGAGAATGGGTTGGTGCTGTATCTCAGCAGAGCTCGGGACTTTTGAGCTGTTGGAAGATTTGGAGCCAGTAGAAGGTTAAGGGGCAGGACTCTAAACATGACTTAGTTCCACAGAGAAGACAGCTAAAGTGAAGCTTTTTGTTTATTTTGTAAGTACCTTAGCTTTTCTAAGCTCTCCAAAATTAAATGGAATTTAAATTCGTGTTTTTACTGGAAGTTTCACCAGAATCTTAATACAGATCACATGGCAATTAATGTTTCAAATCTAAGAATGGGAAATTGAGCCAGTCAGCATCACCAAGGCTCTGTATCTGGGTTTGGAGCAAGAACTCATTTTGTTTTGGGACACTCACTGAGCTATCATAACAGCTCTAGAAAGCATATTATTCCAGGAAATGGAAACATGGGTTTGGGGTTGGTGGTGGTAGTGTTTGCTTTTGCTTTTTTTATTTTGAGGGGGAAGAAAAAGAAGGTACAGAAAAGGAGGGGTGAACAATGCAATCGTGCTGTTCAGTAGACACTGTGGACAATGACCTACATTACTTCTGGACAGGGATAGGAGGGGAAAACTTCGGGAAAGTGAAGGAAGGGGTAACATAGCCAAAAGAAATGTACTCATCTGATTTATAAGATAACAACCCTTCTGCACAACACCTTTATAGTAACAAAATATGTTAAAGCATATCACAGCTCTACTGGTAGTCAAGTGGATGAAGAAGTTGAAGATCAAACCCAACCTAAAAGAATTAGTTCCTAAATAGTAAAAGGAGGAAAAGAATTTGTAGTGTTTAATTTCACGTGTGAGGTGGATTCAGATGGAGTACTTAAAGGACCCAGAAAGTTCTTTATAGCTGCCCTATACGAAGAACCCAAAAGACTTCACTCCCTTTCTTCTTCACTGCCTTTTTTTGCAGGGGCAGGGGAGAGGTAGACACAAGATACAGGAGGGAATATAAGGACATAATGTAGTCTTGAACTATCAAAGCAGCGTGAGGCCGTAAGATACCAATCAGCACCAGGGTCTTCCTCTTGAATGCAGGCAGCCGAACTACTTCTTCATAGGAGACAACATCCAACTGGTCAAAAACTAAAGATAAAACAAAGCAATGTTCATGTTCAGGGCTGGCTAGGGAAAGCCCTGGCCACAGTTGAGGAGCTAATACCTAATCGGCAGAGACAGCAGCTGTGAATGGTGCACACCTGCAACCCTAGCCCTCTGGAGGCTGAGGCAAGAGGATCACAACTTTGAGGCCTGGGTTACAGTGTTAGCCTCTGTCTCCAAAAAAAGCATGAAAGGAAATATGGGAGAAGATGAGGCCAAGGGGATATGGCGGGGAGGAAGGACTTTGGGATAAATTTATTTTTAATGTGGCCAAGGGAGTTTTGAGTAAGGGACTGATATAGTCCCATTTACATTTTGAAAGGATTACCTTGACTGCTGGATAGGAAATACGCTGCAGAAGCTCTGAGACTCTTAGCTAGAGCCAACTCCATTTCTCACCATTTTATCTTCGGGAGAAACAACTGAATTGAAATTTACTGGATATGCTAGCACACAGGGCAACCACAAAGAAGTACTGATTTAAAAAATATTAAGAAGAGGGGCCAGTGCTGTAGCTCAAGTGGTAGAGTGCTTGCCCTGCAGTACTGAAATTATGAAGAGAAGGGTATTAGAGTAAGCTGATTCTTATCTTTTGTTTTTGTGTCAGTACTGGGGCTTAAACTCAGGGCCTGGGTGCTGTCCCTTAGCTTTTTCACACAAGGATGGCACTGTACCACTTAAACCACATCTCTACTTCTGGCTTTTCACTGGTTAAGTGGAGATAAGAGTCTCACACACTTTTCTGCTCAAGCTGGCTTTGAACTGTGATCCTCAGATCTCAGCCTCCGGAGTAGCTAGGATTATAAGTGTGAGCCACCAGCATTGGGCTCAGAGTAATTCTGTATTACGGATTGGCATGTTCCCCTGGGTTTTGATTTGATTTTTCCCAATACCTTCTATCTGAACTTTTGACATGACATTTTCATCCAGTTCTTTGAACTCTCATTTTTCCCAAGTGTTTGGACTCTGTTCTTCCTTTTCCTCTGAAGTGACTTTCCATAGTTTCAGTAAACTGATAGTTCTCTGTTCCCAACACAGATGCTTCTCCCGGCTCTAGCTCCCTAGGACATGTAACTTGGTTATCCCATACCCAACAATGCCATTACTACCTCTTTACTCTCATTAGTGACTCAACTGCTCAGGAAGGAAATGTGGCTGCCAGCTCAACTCTTGACCCCTCCTCCCAAATGGATGCCTTGGCTATGTCTACTTTTGCAGAAGCTTGTCACATGCTAATGAGTTCAGGTTCTATGATTTGTTCATGTTCTTGTCTCCATCTTGAATGTTCCCAAAAGAATAGAAAATTTAATAAATGGTAACTGGCAGATTAACTCATTTATAATTTGAATATATAGTCATGCATGGGTTCTGCATCATCAGAGTCAACTAATCATGGACTTAAAATATTTGAAAACAATGCATCTGTACTGAACATGTATGCTTTTTTCTTGCCATTCTCTAAACAACATAGTACAGAACTACTGTTTCTATTACTTTGCAGTTCATTAGATTATAAGCACTGTAGAGATTGCTTAAAGTGTACTGGGGATGTCCATAGGTTCAAATGCAAATCCCATACCATTTTATATGAGGGACTTGAGCATCTGTGGACTTTGAGATTCACAGGTGCAAGAATTAATCCTTTAAAAGTACCAAGAGATAACTTTGCTATATTTTGAACTATGTTGGGTGAAGGGCAAACTCACAATTAGGTCTCCAGTTCTCTTTAGGATTGTTCACACTTGCAATCAAGTCACACTGAAGTTTTTGAGAAACAGTGAAGTTTGAGCATGGGAAAAAGTCTGGAAAAATTGGTTATCCAAGAGATGAGGTGATGGGCAGCAGCGGACACACCGCTGGCCTGCCTTTACCTGCACTGCTGCTATCTCTCTCTAGTGATCTTTTTTTTTTTTTTTTTGGTCGGTTGTGGGGCCTGAACTCTGGGCCTGGGTGCTGTCCCTCAGCTCTTCAACTCAGGGCCAGTACTCTACCGCTTGAGCCACAGGGCCACTTCCAGCTTTTTCTGCTTATGTGGTGCTGAGGAATCAAACCCAGGGCCTCATGCATGCAAGGCCAGCCACCTTCCTAGCCCCTCTCTAGTGATCTTATGAGGATCAAAACCGGAAGAAATGTCCTTCCTTCTGTAGTTCACACCTACTGCATAATGCTCCATCTCCTATTTTCTTTTGGTTAAAGAGCCTCAGCAATACACTAGTGTGCAGAGCCTGTAGCAAAGGGGCTCAGAAGCTTACTTGAGCTGTGTTTGGCCAGGTACTTGTCTTTGTACTTCTTCTTCTTCCCAAAGGGACTGCAGCTTGGGGCTTCACCTGGAGCAGACTGAGCAACACTTGCCACTCGCCTGGCAGGAACAAATGACAAAAGGGTCAGTGGGATCTCAGTGCTGAAGCTATAGGTTCATTTACCTGTCCTAGAACAATCCTAGACTGTTGCTGTTCCTTTCAGTCAGATTTTCTCCATTCACTTTGTCCCAGGTGAGTCCCGGAGCCATCCCTGCATTACACACAGCAAGAGGACTAGTACTCATCTCGCTGTAAGAAACAGTATTCACTGCAAAACAACATTACACACCTACACATCTTGAAAGTACAACACGGATGTGCACACATACCACATTTACATCTAAAGCAATAGTTTGATTAAACAAGCTTCCACTGTATAATCACTGGCTCCAAACTAAGACATTACTATGGGAAATAATATTCCCGGAGGTCTTAATCTTTATTGGGCTTATTTTGCAGAGATAGAGGGAGGGTAAGTGAGCAATCTGACTCAAAGACAGGATTCATTTCCTCTATGTGCACGGAATATGTATCAAAGGCACACACTGAAAATGCAACTGTTTTGTGGGACATTCAAATAGCATGGAGTGGTGAAAGGAATGCAGGAGTCTTGGACAGGCTTCACAGCTGTCAGGAAAGTATTTGAAGAAACTGAGGCCCGCTGAAGGCTCCTGTACCTGAAACAAAAGGCCTGCCAACGAAGCTTATCAGCTCCTCGTGGCCCCTCCCTCACCCATTATGCCAGGGCTAGAAAGAAGGTAAGTTTCCGAGAAATGGAAACTACACATTTGACAACAAATTTTGGAAACAAAGTGATTATGTGTAGCAGGGGTATGTCCTCTCCACCTGCACGAATGGCTCACCATTCCTGCAGCTCCGGGGAAGGGATCAATCCTGCAGACTCCTTGGAGGATCCTTCCACTCGCCCTTGCCACCAGTTGCTGTCATCCTTGTTGATGATCTGGATAATGTCTCCAGTAACAAACTTCAGCCCTGCCTCTTTGCAAGGGATCAGATTGTCCTTTTTGGGATCATAGTCAAACTGTGCTCTCATGAACATCTGTGGGGGAAAAGGCAAATGGAACTGCAGGCACCAGACCAAGAGAAACATCAGCATCAGAGCATGCATACAGAAAGACTTGCTGTAAGGAAACCGAATGAATGGACAAAGTAGAAGAACGGTGAAGAAGCACCCAAGAGTGGGAAATTGGACTAGTGAAGTGCATGCAACTGCTTATTGACTTTTGTTGTGCAGAGCTGTCAGAACTGATCCCTTTAATAACAAAGCAAGAAATGCTTTTTGGGGTCAACATGTTTTGTTACTAGATCTGAATTGTCTACCTCAGAGTGCAGAACTGCTACTGTCTGGAACATGTTTCTTTGATGAAATACTTCCACAAACATGTGAAAGAAACTTGATAAACTTTTTCTAGGTAACAGACTAGCAATATGAATGTGGCCAAACTCTTCAACTAGACCCACATTCTACTTCTGTGCATTTATCTGATTCAACAGAGCTGTTAGTAATGATGTGTGGATAAGCATGTTCACCACAAAGTTATTGTAAGAGTAGAGTATTGGAAACAACCTAATTTTCCAAGAATGGAGAACTGGTTACATGTCATGGTTATGCTATTTATAAAATGAATCAGAAAATTCCATTATTTGATGTTGTTTGTAATTATATGAGATTACCTTTATTCAAGTAAGGTTTGGAATATTTGCTATCAGGTGTGGGAGTACAATTTTCGGTAATGTGTTCAAACTATTTAATAGATCCCCTCTTCATTTTTCAATTTCCGTCATGTATTGACTATGTTACTATATAAGCAGGAAACTCAATCTCTAGAAGATTATTTAGTATCCTGGTAAATGAAAATATCAATAGTCAAACGAAAACTAGTATGCTCAATATTTAAAAATAACTATGCATAGAAAAAGCGTGGAAGAAATCATACTGGAATTTAATACTAATAAGTGTACAGTAGTGGGATTTGGGGTCCAAATCCAATCCAAATGAAGGAAGAAGAAATACTAAGGATCAAAAGAAATGGGAGAGAAAATAGCATTAAGATCATCATCATCAACACAATAAAATTTAAAAAACAGAGAAGACAATTTATCAATAGAGACCTTGGAGATATTTAGGAGGTAGTAAGAGGATATTGGAAATAATTTCATAGCAATACATTCAACAAATTCCTTGAAGATCACAATTTACCAAAAGATACAACCGGAAATTGAAAAATGAAGAGGGGATCTATTAAATAGTTTGAACACATTACCGAAAATTGTACTCCCACACCTGATAGCAAATATTCCAAACCTTACTTGAATAAAGGTAATCTCATATAATTACAAACAACATCAAATAATGGAATTTTCTGATTCATTTTATAAATAGCATAACCATGACATAAAAACTGGACATGAATCTCAGTTAGCAGAGACATAAGTACCCCCAAATAAAACACAAACCAAATACAGCAATGTGTAAAAAGGACAAAAATTACAATAAAAAGGATCTAGTTCAGCAACATAAGCAGTACTATCTGATGGGGAAAATTGCCACATTAACTGAAAAATGCAGGGAAATCATATGATCCTCTCACTAGATGTAGAAAAAAACATTTGATAAGAATCAAAGCTCATTCAAGATTTAAATTTTCAGCAAGCCCACAATTGAAGAGAGCTTCTTTCTGTAAGGTTTTAGGTGAGAAAAGGACCACGCAGAGAGGAATAAAAAGACTGACAGGAAAGTTTATTGGGGTCTGCTTCAGGACGAACTCCCTGGTTGGGATCAGAGAGAGCAGGCTGAATTTGGTTGCAGCAGAGCTTTTATAGGTGGGGTAAAAGCAGAACTTTTAGTGAGCAGGGACTTGTAGCATGTAGCTTGTTTTGCCAGTTTGGGTGATTTTAGGCCAGTGCACTGGAAGACTGGTTCACTCAGATGGTGTTTTTGATAGGGACAGGGTCGTTTTAGGCAGCAGCCTGTCCCCCCCTCACCTGACATTTTTCCTGGCTGCTTACTTTTTCCAGTGGCCTGACACTTTCATCTGATGAAGAATGCTACAAAAACCCTGTAGTCAGGACAATACTTTCACAGTGAAATACTAAGAACTTTCCCTGTAAGACTGAAAAACAGAGAAAAACGTTTGCTCTCACCACTTCTATTGGGATATTGTGAAGATGTCTCCTCCCTCCAGGATAAATAACAGCTCAGAAGAAACGAATACAGAGTTCCAAAACAGACCTACACATATGACTTATGACAAAGGTGATGGTGAATGTAATAGGAACAGGATGGTTGTTCTTAATAAATACTCCTGCACCCACTGATAACCATATGGAAAAATTAGACACTTGACCTCTTACTCAACAGAAAACCACACAAAAATCAATTCCAGGTGTGGTTTAGAAGAAAACGTAGGAGAAAAATCTTCTTGGCCTTGTAGTTAAATAAGTAAATAACAAACAAAAATGCTAATCCTAAAAGAAAAAAAAAGTGGTAGATCAGAATTCAATTAATTAAGTTCTAGTCAGGTGCCAATGAGTCAGACTTGCAATCATAGCTACTCAGGAGGTTGAGATCTGGGAAAAATCAATGTTCTAAGCCAGTGTTGGCAGAAAAATTAAAGATTCCATCTCCAAAAGGACCTAGCAAAAAGCCTGTCTGGAGGCATAGATCAAATGGTAGAATACAGCTAAGCAAGCAAGCTGAGTGCAAGGCCTTGAATTCAAACCTTAGTATTACCAAAAATGAATAGACATTTCTAGTTATCAACAAAACCATGAATAAAATAAAACAAGCCAAAAAGAGAACAGATTTGGAGAATAAACATGGCAAAGGATTCTTATCCAGAATGTGTGACGTACTAATTGGTAAGACAAAACCCAAAACTGGTATTTTACAAAAGAAGATATTCAGGTAGAAAAAGAAACATATATGAGTAACTTATCCTCATTAATTATTAGAGAAATACAAATTAAAATCACAATGTGATTTTAATATCCGGTACCACCATCAGAATAGTTTAAATGAACACACAAATAAGATCAGAAAACTCCAAGTCTTGGTGAGAATATGAAAGAAGTGCAGTTGGGAATATACAATGGTTCAACTACTTTGAAATATTATTTAGCAGTATCACCTGAAGATGATCATATCTGGACACTAGAACCCCAGCAATTCTACCCACCACAAAAGAAATGTGGACGTATACATCAAAATACAGATTCAAGAGGGTTCTGGACGCTACCTAAGGACAAAAGAGCTGAGAACGCCAAAATACTTTAACAGAAGAACAGATGAATATACCACATTCATAGAATAAATCAATGAGAATGAATCATCTATTTATACAAGCAACCTATATGACTCCCATAAACATAATGCTGTATGAACTAAATGAGATACAAAAGAATTCATACCTTATAGGGCAATGTATGTATGTATGTATGTATGTATATATGTATGTAGGTTGTGGGGCTCAGGCCTGGGCACTGTCCCTGAGTTCTTTGTGCTCAAGGCTAGCACTTTACCACTTTGAGTCACACGACCACTTCCAGTTTTCTGATGGTTCATTGGAGATAAGAGTCTCACGAACTTTTCTGCCTGGGCTGGCATTGAACTGTGATTCTCAGATCTCAGCCTCCTGAGTAGCATGGATTACAGGCGTGAGCCATGGATGCCTGGCTAAGCTATATGTGGGCTTGGAATGCCCCGTTTCTGTTCATATCAATTCTTCCACATCAAAGAGGAGAATGAACTCTTATATTTTAGTTTAGTTTCGAAAGTCTTACGTTTCAGTGAATAATGAGAACCTGAACCAAGCAGCTACACATTTTTGAGATATTTAGAATGTACACTGAGAACCATATCACTCATAATCTTATCTCAACAAACAGTGCCACATACTTGTAGTGCAGGAAGACGACTTTGTTGGCTGGGAATTACTTTCAATGAGATCATTCCTTTGGTTTCTTTCTATTAAAAAGGAAAGAAAAAATGTAATTATAAGGAAAATTAACTTGGATGATTTGGGGTCCTACAATATCAGATTTTCTCCACCTGGCAGACATCTTTCCTAGTATCATGTGTCCATAATCCAGCATAACTACATGAAGATATACAAAGAATAATGAAACAAAACTTAATGACTTTTCCTTCTCCATGTGTTTTCCAGAAGTTTCTAACCTGTGCCCTGGCACAAATGTAGCCATAACCTGTTCTACACCACAGGAAGCATCACAAATATTTACACTCTATAGACATACACATGCATTTTTGTTTTTAACCATAATGTCAATATACTATATACACTTTAATTTACTTGATTATATTTGGCATTGCTTCAGGGACAAACTTTATATTGGTATAAAAAAGATCTCATTCATTCTGTTACACAGCACCATGTCAAGTTGATTTCTAGTTTTATCCTCAGATTACTTTTCTAAAAAATATAGCAAATCCAATCCCAGCAGGAGTGTATGAATGAATCTTTTCTATTCAAAATTTTTGCCAGAATTAAAGTCACACTCCTTTTCCATCTGATGGATGGAAAGTATTCCATAGTTTATTTTGTAATTTTGGCATAATCCAAGTAGAGAACATTTCCTATTTCTCTTCTATTTTTTTCCTTTCTCTTCAATTTGGCAAAATTTTGTATTTAGCAATACAATATGTTGTTTTGAGATGTGTATGTATTTGGAATGACTGCATAGAGCTAATTAACACATGTATTCGTCCACACACTTGCTTTTTGTAGTGGGAATACTTAAAATTGACTCTCAGCAGTTTTCAAGAATATAATTCACTGTTACAACCACTACTATGTTGTACAATAGAGCTAATGAAATTATTCCTCCTGTCTAGATGGAATTTTGTACCCTTTGGCCATTATCTCTCCATTATCCACCCTGAAGCCCCAGCAGCTGGGAAGCACTCCAAGGGATTGACTTTTTAGATTTCATATACAAAGGAGTTCATGTGGTGCTTATCTTCCTGTGCTTGGCTTATTTTACATGTCTCCCTGGTTCAACCATGTTGTGACAAATGATATGATTTTTTTCTTCCTTTTTGTGCCAATCCTGGGGCTTGAACTCAGACCTAGGTGTTGTCCCTGAGCTTTTATTTGCTCAATGCTAGTCCTCTACCCCTTGAGCTACAGCTCCACTTCAGAATCCATGGTTGTTGATTAGACATAAGAGTTTTAGGGATTTTTCTGCCCTGGCTGGCTTGAAACCACGATGTTGAGATTTCAGTCTTCTGAGTAGGATTATAGGTATGAGGCCACTGGCACTGGACTGATTTCCTGTTTTGTTTTGTTTTCCGGTTTTGGGGCTTGAAGTCTGGGCCTGGGTGCTGTCCCTCAGCTCTTCAGCTCAAGGCGAGTGCTCTACCACTTGATCCACAGCACCACTTCTGGTTTTCTGGAGGTAAATTGGAGATAAGAGTCTCCTGGACTTTCCTGCCCCGGCTGGCTTTGAATCGCCTTCCTCAGATCTCAGCCCCGAGTAGCTAGGATTACAGGTGTGAGCCACCTAAGTGTGGCTTGATTTCCTGCTTTTTAAGGATTCTTCAAGGACACCTTTGTTAAAGCTGTACCTACAAAAGAGGGTTTGGCCTTCACCAGACTGATCTTGCATGGAGATACATACAAATGGCCTGATATCCATGTGTGTCACTCTGTCTCTGCCTCTCTCCTTTCTTTATGTCTTTTTTTGTGGTATAGGGATTTGAGCTCAAGGTCTTTTACTTGGGCGTGCACTCTACAACTTGAGTTGCATCCCCAGCCCTCTTTTGTTTCTTTAGTTATTTTTTTCAGGTAGAGTCTGGCATTTTTGGGTGAGGCAGCCATCACACCACTACTCTCCTGCCTAAGCTGATGCATATCAGAGCCACATTGACTGAGATGGGGGAAGCTGGCTAACATCTGCTTCCAATCATGGTGCTGAGTAGCTGTGATTGTACACATTCACCACCGTGGGCAGCTCATTTCTAACTTCTTACTGAGCCTACTGAAGCCCAATAGAAGCCCAACTGATGCAGTCATTAGAGTCAGCCTCCTGTGGCATAAGACAGAGTCAAGAAGGTTCGCAAAGAGACTGACAATTCTCTTAAGAAGTACAAATGACCCCAGCCATAAAAGAGCTACAAATACAAAAACTGAGATTTTGATTTATTCTCACCCCCCCCGCCCCCCGTCAGAATAGCTATCATCAAGACCACGAACAACAAATACTACCAAGGTCAGGAACTCTTACACCATTAGTGAGGATGTAATTTAGTGCAGCCACTATGAAAATCAGAGTGGAGGCTCATAAAAAGCGCTAAAATAGAACTACCATGTGATTTTATGATACAACTCTTGGGTGTATGTTGGAGGGAATGTAAGTCAAGATACAATAGAGACTTTTGCACACTCATGTTTGAAGCAGTATTCATAATAGCTGATCTATGGAATTGACCTAGGTACCCTACAACTGATGAATGAACTAAGAAAACACAATTGAGTACTATTCAGCTATAAAGGAGAATGAAATCATTTCATTTACAGGAAAATGAATGGAACTGGAGACTATCATGTTAAGTGTAATAAGGCAGGTTCAGAAGGATGAAGGTCACATATTTTCTCTCATTTGTGGAATCCAGACTTTGTGTGTGTGTGTGTGTGTGTCTAACATGACTCTAACTGTGAGACTGTTGGGGGGACAATGGGGAAGGGAGAGAAGGCAAGAAAACGATAGAGGGTGAATAACATAGGAATATATTGTCTTTGAGTATGAAGGTGGCATCATAGAGAAATCCACTGAAAACTGTTGAACAGCAGAAGGAAGGGAATACAGGGGAAACACAAAACAATAGAGAGGTTAATCTGATCAAGTACAATATATGCATATATCAAATATCCTTTTTACAATTAATATACACTTGTAAAAAAAAGAACCAGAACATGACACATAATAATAGGTGATGAACAAATATCAACTGAATATAAATAGCACACTCAAATTTTCATTTATAACATTCCATTTTGTATTCATAATCAACCTATGATGTAAGAATAGAGATTACGGTCTTCATTTTGGTAGATTAGGAAATGAAGAGTAGTTAATTCACCTGCTCAAGTTACTGAGTCAGAATAAAACAAAGCTGAATTCAGAGTGGCCATTAAAGACCAAGGTCTCATGACTTGCAATGCAAATGTCATTCCATACACCACACTGATGCCCTGTTCACCTGATTTAGAGAAAGCAGAGAAATGTCACCTCTTGCATATAAGCACAGATACCAGAAAAGTGAAATACTTTTGTAAAGAAATGATGACTCTAACAAAACAGATGATCTTCATCAAGCATAGAAAATACCTACCATTGCTTTCTGTAGCTGGTCTACTGAGTGATTAGACACATTTGTGCCATTGATTTCTAGGATCTCATCTCCTACGTGAAGGGAGCCTGCCATAAAACAACAACAACAAAATGAATACATAAAAAGCTCAAGAGATGTCAGTATAGAAGAGACGGCATAGATCGTAAGATGCTGAGGATTAAAAATCCTCAACAAGGACAGATGAAAATGAACATCTTTCTGAACCCCTTGTAGGATGTATCAAGGCAAACACTTGAGAAGCCAACACTATCTCCTCTTTCTGATTCAACTCCTGGAACTCCAAAAGACCCTGCCATATATACTACCAAAAATAACAGGGCAAGGCAAAGTCAGTTCTACTCATTAGCCAGCAAGGTCAAAAGCTCTTTTTTTCTTGTTTGGCTAAAACTCCAAAGTGCTTTCTTCTCTTTTGTCAGCCATGGGGCTTGAACTCTGGACCTGGACATTGTCCCTAAGCTCTTCAGCTCAAGGCTAGCATTCGACCACTTGAGCCACAGAGCCACTTCCAGCTTTTTCTGTTTATGTGATGCTGAGGAATCAAACCCAGGGCCGCATGCATGAGAGGCAAGCACTCTACTACTGAGCCACCTTCCCAGCCCTCCAAAGTGCTTTCAAATGGTAAAGTCAATCATTAAGTGGCTAATATTAGTCATGTTGCTTTGAATAGAAAAAAAGTAACTTTTTGTTGTTGTTTTGGGTCAGGGGCTTGAACTCAGGGCCTGGGCTCTGTCCTTGAGCTTTTTTTTGTTTTTGCTTAAGGTTAGCACTCTATCACTTGAGCCAGAGCTTCACTTCCAGCTTTTTCTGGGGGTTAATTGGAAATACAAGTCTCACTGACTTTCCTGCCTGGGTTCGCTTTGAACTGTGATCCTCAGATCTCAGTGTCCTGAGTAGCTAAGATTATTAGCAGGGCTTCTATTTGTTTTTAATCAGAGTACATTAGCTATGGCAGTGCCAGGGAAAACATAAATATTAAAGGGAAAGTGCTAATGGTTTATTATATTGGAATTTAAACTCAGGGCCTCATGCTTTCTCTATTGGTAAATCTCCGCCCCCTTCCCTTCTTTTCTGCACTGCTTTTTTAAGCTCTGTATTTATTTAATTTATTTATTGTCGGTCGTGGGGCCTGAACTCTGGGCCTGGGCATTTTCCCTGAGCTCTTCAGCTCAAGGCTAACACTCTACCACTTGAGCCACACTTCCTGCACTGCTTATTTTAAGATATGGTCTCATTTTTCTACCAGGCACACTCCTGGACCATTACCTCCCATTTTACATTTCCCACTGTAGCTGGAATGACAGGTGCACACCACCACTCTCAGCCTCTTCCACTGAGATGGAAACTCAAACTGTTTTGCAGGAAATAGCCCAGAACCATGATCCTATTGATTTCAGTCTCCTGCGTACCTGGGATACCTGCCACCCTGCCTAGTTACTGGCTTAGAAGGGGTCCTATGAACTTTTAACCTAGGCTATCCTGGAGCACTCCTCATGTACTATATACGGTATGAGCCAATAGGCCTGTCTACACATGCTGCATTCTATCCTGTCATCAATCTCTACAGTAGATGAGTAAAAGACACATCAGAAAATTGATGACCAACATTAAGGAAAGCAAATAGCTGATTCTTTAGTATCTGTTCTCTCAGATAAACTGCTAGCTCCAGGAGGGTAGAGGATATCTGTTCACCTCATTGTTATATGTTCAAAGTCTAACGCAATGGGTGACATGCAGTAATGACTCAGATATTAACTAAACGATCAGTACACAGATGTATATAAGAAAACTCAGAGTAAAGATGGCGGCACTGGGCAATTCATAGTAAGGTCTTATCATGAGAGTTTTCTAAAGAGTCAGTAATTAAGCCACAAAGATCTCTTGGCACACTTATAAAGTTCTATCAGTTTCAAGAATTATAAGCTTGATGTCCCATATCACTGAACAAGAAGTGAATGACTAATCCAGGAAAAAAATACAACATAGGACCTCCATCCAGAGTACCTTGTCTATGAATCATGCCACCATGGAGAATTCTGGCCACAGTACAGGATTGTTTTTCATTCAGCTTCAGAGTGATTCCCTGGAAGAAAGGCAATGTAATAAGATTTGCTTTAAGCTCTTTCTAAGAATATCTTTCAAATAGTTGAAGGCAATTTCTGAGGAAATTATCTTCCATCTACACCAGGAGAGCCCAATCTACACCAAGCAGATTAGGGACAAAGACCCATAAAATGACACAGTGTTACCATGGGCTCTTCTGTGATCTTCTCAAACTGTATGAGACGCACTTTCCTCAACTCCTGCCCCTTAGCCTGGGCAGGGTTACCCGAGCCTGTGGACCCATTGGTGTACATGTCCTCAGTTACAGCATTCAACTGCTTCGACACAGCCTGTCAAGTTAAAACAACAGAGGAGTGGATGGATTAGGTGACAAAGCCACACTGGCACCCCATCGTTTGTAAACCTAAAGTCTCTAAGATTTGAAAATACCAACATTTCATAAGCTTGGCATTCAATCTCATTTGAATTCATGTAAAGCCACTTGTTGATTTTATTTATCTAATCATGTAAAGTCACTTGTTGATTTTATTTGTCTAAATTAACAGATATTTTTAACTAGGTCACTGCAGGTACATGAACAGCTTTGATCTATAGGGTGCTCCTTGGCATCCTGCAGGGAGTATTGTATAGCATATAAAAAATTTTAAATTCTGAATCCTGAAGCACCTTGGACCCTCATCATTTTCTGTATGGTGTACACACACACACACACACACACACACACACACACACACACACACACACACACACACACTTTATACAGTAAAGACCCCAGGGAGGGTCTAAATTAATTTATGATGACAGGAGGCAGACAACAAGTTCAGAAGAAGAAACAACTATAAATGACAATGGCATTCCCAACATATAAAGAACACTTCCAAGTGACAGGCTAACACTGGGGAGGCCTGACTCAAAAAGCAAAACCAAAAACAAAAACACATATATTCAAGCCAAACATGGTATATCGGCAACCCCAGCTAATCCAGAGGTTGAGGCAGGAGGATTGTTTGAGCCCAAGAGTATGAGGCCATCCTGGGCACCACAGTGAAACCCTGCCTCAAAACAGGGGCTGGGAAGGTGGCTCAGTGGTAGAGCACTTGCGTTGCATGCCTGAGGCCCTGGGTTCGATTCCTCAGCACCACATAAGCAAAAAGAAAAAAGCCAGAAGTGGCGCTGTGGCTCAAGTGGTAGAGCGCTAGCCTTGAGCTGAAGAGCTGAGGGACAGCGCCCAGGCCCAGAGTTCAGGCCCCACGACCGGACCAAAATAAAAATAAAAATAAATTAAAAAAAAACAATCAAAACAAACAAAAAACAGACAAAATCATAAGAAAATACATCTGACAAGGGGCTGTACATAGAACATTCTAAAAATTCTGACAATTCAAATAGCAGGGGCAATCCAATGAAAACACAGAGGGCTTGAACAGACTCTACAGCAAACAAGACATGAAAAGCTAATAAGCACAGGAAAAACTGATCACGATCGCTAAAATCTTAGAAATGCACATCAAATTGAAACCACAGTAAGTCACTAGGATGGCTAAAATGAAAAAGAGATGATAATAGTGGTGGAATTCTTATACACTGCTAATAAGAATATTAAATGGTACAGGTACTAGGGAAAACAAAGTTACATAAAGTTAAACACATACTATCTTGTGGTTCTAGGGATTCACCCGAGACAAAAATAAACATTTGTCCACACAGAAGGTTGTGCATGAACATGCATAACAGCCTTCTGTTCGTAATAGCCAAATAGTAGAAACAACATAGGTGTTTATTTGTAGTTGTGGTCCATCCATACAAGAAAATACTACTTGTCAGCAAAAAGCATCCAACTACCAATACATGTGACAACTTAGATGAATATCAAAAACATTATGTTAAGTAAAAGAAGCCCAGGAGAAAAAAGAATATATACTACATGACACAATTTACATGATTTTTTTTTGCCAGTCCTGGGGCTTGTAGTCAGGGCCTGGACACTCTCCTTGAGCTTTTTTTGCTCAAGGCTAGCAGTCTACCACTTGAACCACAGTGCCACTTCCAACTTTTTCTGTATATATGGTACCAAGGAATCAAAGCAAGGGCTTTGTGCATGCTAGGGGAGCACTCTACCATAAAGCCACATTCCCAGCCCCTACATGAAATTTTAGCATAAGTATTATAAAAAATTAAAACAACAGCCTAGTGCCAGGGGCTCAAACCTGTAATCTTAGCTACTCAGGAGGCTGAGATCTGAGGATCACAGTTCAAAACCAGCTTGGGCAGGAAAGTCTGTGAGACTCTTATTTATCTCCAATTAACTACCAAAAAACTGGAAGGAGCACTGTGGCTCAAGTGGTAGAGCGAGCACCAGCTGTGAGTGAAAAAAAAAAAGCTCAGGGACAGAACACAGGCTCTGAGTTTAAGTCCTAGTCTTGGAACAACAAAAATTGAAACAGTAGTTGACCTTCATGGGATAGCGAAGAGGCATGAGAGAACTCGGGGGAAGCTGGTGCTATTCTATATCATGCTAGGAGGTTACATCACATAAGTTTATGCATTTGTGAAAAACAATCTAAGAATGCATTTACTATTTTTGGATTCTACTTTATATATATATACATATATATATATATATATATATATATATAATTTACATCAAAGTAAAAAAGAGCAATAAACTAATACTGAATTCTAGCCCAAAAATGTGTATTGACGCTCTTAAGAGTTAAGAGCTCTGAGATGTGTAACTTATCTTGAAATACTAGAAAGGTGGATTGGCAGATGGTGGTTTGGGAGAGAGGTGTAATAAAGCAAAAAAGTAGCATGTTGTTTATGAAACCTAGATTGCATGACTATATGGATAACAACTTTTTAGTAACTTTGGACTCCTTAATAAAACAGTGATGAAAATGGCAAGCCACCCCTCATGTCTGTAAATTGTTGAAATCATATTGGAGTCCTTACTAAAGTGATGCCACCCTATTCCCATCTCCCATGTGTGTCAAAAGAAGCAAACAGTGGGTTGGGAATGTGGCTTAGTGGTAGAGTGCTTGCCTAGTATGCATGAAGCCATGGGTTTGATTCCTCATAAGAAGCTGGAAGTGGTGCTATGGCTCAAATAGTGCTAGCCTTGAGCAAAAAGCAGCTCAGTGACCAGGCACTGAGTTCAAGTCCCAGGACTGGCACAAAAAAATCATGCAAAAAAAGTCTTTAAAAAAAGTAGCAAACAGTAATATAATCATGAGACACGTGCACACACATGTGCCGGTGCTGGTGGTGGGACTTTGAACTCTGGCCTACGTGCTGTCCCTGAGCTTTTTTCCCCCACAGCTAGCATTCTACCATTTGAGCCACAGCAGCATTTCAGGCTTTTTAGTGGTTAATTGGAGATGAGTCTCAAGGACTTTCCTGCCTGGGCTGTCTCTGGACCACTATCCTCAGATCTCAGCTTCCAGAGTAGCTAGGATGACAGGAGAAAGCCACAGGTGCCCAGCTGGAGGCACCATTGGCTTAGACCTGGCAAGACTATTTTTCAATGTCCTAAAATTTAATTAAACCATTTGCCTCTTAACCAATAAATACTCCAGTATAAACTGTTGAATCAAAACCAACACATGGGGCTGGGAAGGTGGCTCAATGGTAGAGCGCTTGCCTTGCATGCACGAGGCCCTGGGTTCGATTCCTCAGCATCACATAAGCAAAAAGAAAAAAGCCGGAAGTGGCGCTGTGGCTCAAGTGGTAGAGCGCTAGCCTTGAGCTGAAGAGCTGAGGGACAGCGCCCAGGCCCAGAGTTCAAGTCCCATGACTGACAAAAAACAAAGAAAAAAACCCCCACCAACACAACACCTAGAGGAGGAGGGGCAGGCTGAGCATGGAGTATAGAAGGGTCAGTATGGCATGTGGGTGTGGCAGCCACACTCACAGGTGGCCTTCAAGAACACAAAAGATGAAAGGTGCTCTCAATGGGCACAACTGAAAGGCGTGGACCTTGTGCCTTATTGGTGGGAAGAAGAGGCTGGGGGTGGGGGCATTTTCCCAGGCAGTGTCCCTGAGTCCCTTGATGTATGAATCCAGAGGGAAAAGGAAAGGAAATGGGAGGCAAGGTGGTCTGGTGGTGATGTCTGCAAATATACACAGGTCGCCTAATGCAGAGGTGCTTTATACAAGATATAACATTTTAATTTTAATTTGCCACCTATTTTCTAAAAGGTTAGCAGAAACAGTGACAAAATGGCTTTACTCGCCATTAAGAAGCAATGCTACTTACTGGGTGATTTCAGATAAGGGAAGTACTGGGAAAGAGAAACTGTCTTGTCTAGCAACGACATCCTCAGAAGACTCACATGACACCTAGTCATATGGCATTGAGGGTGCAATTTGAATATTGACTTAGATTATCTGGAAGTACAGAACACCACAGAACTCCAAGGTACACTAGAACAGATGATTCAATGATACAGTTAACATTGCCACAACAAGGCGACCTTAGTGAGCTAGCATCCACCTAAACAGTGAAAAACAGAATACATTCACATTTGCTTATGAGTATAAAAACTACGTTTTAAAAGTTGGGCACCGGTGGCTCATGCCTGTAATTGTAGCTACTCAGGAAGCTGAGATTTGAGGATCATGGTTCAAAGTCAGCCTGGGCAGAAAACTCCATGAGACTCTTATTTCTCAGTAAGCACCAAAAAGCCAGAAGTGGAGGAATGGGTTAAGTGGTAGAGAGCTAGCCTTGAGCAACGAAGCTGAGAGACACCTCCTAGGCCCTGAGCAGGCCCCAGGAGTGGAACAAAAAGAAAAGCAGAGAAAGAAAAGTATGTTTAAAGAAGACATAAGAAGTAATAATTGCTTCTAGGGAAGCAAATTGGGTATCTACAAAATATAGACAAAGAGGTTGTTTTCATTGTTTATCTGCTTATCACACAGTTCAAATTATGTATTATGTGCATTTTTATTACTTTCATGAAATAAATTAGTGAGAGAATTTTTTATTTTATTTTTATTGGAACCTAATATTTTATGTGTAATAGTACTGGGGTTTGAACTCAAAGCCAAAGAAATCTTAGTTTTTTTGTTCAAGATTGGCACTGTACCACTTAAGCCACACATCTACTTCTAGCTTTTTGCTGGTAAGAGTCTCTCAGTTTTGTCTGCCTGGAATGGCTTGAAACCAGGTTTCTCAGATGTCATCTTCCTGAGTATGTAGGGTTACAGGTGTAAACCACCAGTGCCAGGCAGTACCATACTCTTAATGAAGCATTTATATTGATTCACCTGCGTTTCTAGACCTGGTGGACCCTACATTATGGTCTCTCCTTGAACTCTCACAAGGTCTTGGAACTGTGCTTACAGTTTAACTCTTGGGAGTCTGAAAATTATTAGGTGCTTTAAGCTCAAACAGGTTTCTAAACCACATTTGCCTCCAAATACTGATCACAAAATGGGGATAGGAATGTAATTTAATATGACTTCACCTAGAAAATAAAATACTAAGTTGAGTGCTGGTGGTTCATGTCTGTAATTCTAGTTACTGAGGAGATTAACATCTAAGGATCCTGGTTCAAAGCCACCGGGGGCAGAAAAGTCTGTGAAACTCTTTATTTTCAATTAACCAACAAAAAACCAAGGAAGGTGTGGCTCAATGGATGGAATACCAGTCTTCAGTTAAAAAAAACCTCAGGGATAGCACCAGGCCCTGAGTTTAAGCCCCAGTACTAGGAAAGAAAGAAAGAAAGAAAGAGAGAAAGAGAGAGAGAGAGAGAGAGAGAAAGAAAGAAAGAAAGAAAGAAAGAGAGAGAGAAAGAGAGAAAGAAAGAGAAAGAAAGAGAAGAGAGAGAGAGAGAGAGAGAGAGAGAAGAAAGAAAGAAAGAAAGAAAGAAAGAAAGAAAGAAAGAAAGAAAGAAAGAAAGAAAGAAAGAAAGAAAGAAAGACATTATTTGACATAGTCCCAGCACTAGTTTAATGGCAATGTGAGGACAAAGAGCCAGAGCCAGGTATCTGCACAGTATCTTGTAGTTTTTTGTTCTTCTGTATGGAATAATTTCCTGTTTTTCTTCAGTAGAAAGAGGCATGTGAACAGACTGCACTGTGTAGATAAAGCACATTGCAAAAACATCTTTACATATTTGGCCTCTTGCAGATAGATATGTTCACGGATGGCTTTAGAGCCTGAGAGACATCTAGTGTATGATGTTAAGACAGTATCTGCCAGAAAAATTCTGGCTCATAGGGCTTCCTGTCTCCCCAGTTGTCATTTTGGGCAATAATAATCCCTAATTCCTTTGAGCACTCGCCTCTCCCCAAGTGGAATAGGATATTGTCCAGGAAAAAGTGGGAACACCTGGGTCCAGGGACTACCACGGGTCTTGTGTCATTAATCACTTGCTTCTCAGTCTCCATGTGGAAACAGCTGGCAAAGAGCCTCATAGTAAGCTGAACAACTGTTTATTCATTCCTATGCTCACTAGTTCCCTATTACTTGCTGTTAAGCCAATTAGTTTGGATGAGACCGCTAACTGCAGTTATCCCTGCTCTATTTACTGCCTTCCTCCTCCCCACCCCCACCAAGTTTGTTTTCTCTTACTGATTCCAACTTCCTTTGAGCAACTGTCTCTGCCCTTTGAACCCAGCTGCAGATGTTTCCTCCAAAGGAGGTTCAGAGTGCTGTGAGGCAGTGTCGGTTACCCCACGCTCAGAAAACCAGAATTTTGTACTGTCTAGAAAGAATGGGCAAGGAACACTCCAGGAAAGATTTTTGTTCAATGCTGCATTCTATTGTGTCAGGAAGCTAAGTGTTGCCTGAGTTTGTGGGGTACATGGCCAGTGAGTTTGCTCCTTATTATTATTTTGCTGGATGAAGAACTTTTGCTGCCAACTGGTTGTTTCATTTGAGGAAGTTTTCTTTTCAAGGAATGGGTACTAGAAAATAAAGTGCATTTTTCCAATTATTAAGTTCTGTTGCTGATTCCCCTAGTGTGTCTTGTGGTCTGTCAGTAGTGTTCTTCCTCTGTCCTTCACTTCCTGGTTCTTTATTGTATTTTTTAAAAAACTGGAAAGACTTAGTATACCTTGCAGATTAAAAAAAAAAGTCTAGTTTTACTGTGGCCAGGAGGACTTAAGTAGATGAAAGTTTTACCAAGTTCTGTTCTTTTCTCATTTGTTCTCCCCTAGATAAGATACTGAACCAGAAGATCAAGAACAGGTATTGGAGGTATAGTAATTCTTTGTTGAGAGAAGTAATACTCCAGTAGTTGTGACAAACAAAATCGTCTGGAGACACTGCGAGTGAGGAAGGCCAAATCAGCTGACATTTTGTTGATGCAGAAATTTTGTCCTGAGCAGTGAAGTGTTCTAATCTTTCAGTTTTGTTTGAAATGGTGTCTGGGTGTGGAATATGGGAAAGCATGTTAAATAACCAATTTTCCAAAATTGGCTGGTGGAGGGGAGTGACAGAAGAAGAAGGGAAGAGGAAACCAAGCCCCTGAATTAGGAACCAGAACACAACTTTGGCAACATGGAGCGTTCTTCTGTGGTTCTTCATTTTTTCTTTTACCTCCTTCATATAAAGAAATATATGTGCCCAAAACATGTAATAGGTTTTTGCTTCGAAGCTACCTTGCCCCTGAGGCCTTTTCTGCTTTATTTTGCTGTTTCATCTATACTCAGCTGTAAAGTATCTTATTAATGAGTATTTTTAACATCTGTAATTGCCCATCACGATGTCAGCTTTGCCATCTCCTTAAAGTGTCTCTTTGGACGAAGGGTGTGGAGTTGGGGGAGCTGGCCTTTCCTCCCATTAAGCAGGAGAGCCAGCCTTCACTTGGGGGGCAGAAATTCATACCTATTTGTATGTCTTCACTGGAATCTGGAGACCAGCATTACCTCCCGAACTCCCTGGACTGCTGCTCCATAAACATATATACACAGCAGTAAATATCCCTTTGGCACCATGGCACAAGGGAGCTATGTAAATACGGGAGTGAGGGGGGGGCAGGTAGTGAGCAAACAAATCTTTAGAGCCAGAAGTTGTTTTCTCTTGTGATCATCTGAACACAAGTACTACAGCAACCACCAAGTCCTCGTCCTGTGCTCCTTTGAATCTCTCTCTTCCGCTGGCCTCTTATATGAGGAACTTTTACTTGACCTTAAGTAGTGCTCTGTGGTGACTACAGCCGCTCCTACACACACACCACCCCCCCTCGTAAAGGGGCGACTGTGGCTACGGATCCAGATTCGAATTCGGATCTCCACCAGTCGCAGTCGGGTCCCAGCAAGAACCCAGGAGAGCAGCGTCTCCGTCCCCACCCGGCTGGCTGCGGAGGCCTCCACCCAGGGAGCAGGGCACCCCCACCTCAGGCCCTCCCGGGTGAGACCGCTAGGAACAGGGCCTTGGATGGGGGGAACGTAGCGGCGGGTGACAGGCCTGTGGCCGAGCCCCAGCCCCGCACCCCGGGCCCCAAGGGGCCCGCTCACCTCGGGCCGGTTGCGCTTCTGCAGTAAGTGCTCCAGGTAAAGGTCGGAGAGCGCCGTGCGCATGCTGCCCCCACCCTCGCCCTCGCTCGACTTCAGTGTCATCTCGCCGCAGAGCCGGGGATCTGCCACGCAGGAACCGGCGGCACTGGGAGGCGAGCCCCGAGGCCTGTGGGAAGACGGCGGAGGCGGGCGCCGCAGAGGTGGCAGAGGCGGCGGGGACGCGGCGCTACTGCGCTGGTCACCACCCCGCAGGCAGCGAGCCAGGCGGCGGCGGCGGAGGAGGAGCTCGGCCCACGCCCCGCGCAGCCCCGCCCTCGCCCCGCCCCCAGCCCACCCACGCCTGCACGCGCCACTCCAGGGATGACAGGAAGCACCTAGCTCACCACCACCTCTACGGCCTCCAAGCGGGACGCAGGGATTGGATCCCAGGAAGATAAGGATTGGAAGGGGACCCCCCGAGGCCGGCCAGTGCGGAAACCCGCAGCTGCCGCAGCCTCTCCCCCCACCCCACCCCGGCTGGGAGCTCCCGCATCGCCAAGAGTGCTTTCTACATTTGGAAAAACATGGAAAGTTCGAATCAGCTTGCTTAGCTACAGGTGAAGAATGGGAGATGGTGAGGAGCCCCGGGCCCTGCGTGTGAAGGGAGACAGCCAGAGCAGGGCAAATGAATGCACCGTGGCAAATGCACCCTTCCAGCTTTTCACAGGACAAAAATACCTTTAGGCGCCAGAGCTGCAGTGCCCTGTCGTTTCCGTTGCGGTTCGCTGTTCAGTGATGAAACACTTGATTGCCCACAAGAGCCAACGGGCTTTATTTACCTTGGCCCACGTCTCTGCTGCTAATGCCATGAAATTTTCAGGAATCACGGAAACTAAGCCAAACAAGCGAAACAAGGACCACCCGACATCCTAATGCTTCAGAGATGGCAAAACACCACCCACACTAAGCGAAGCATTTCTGAGCAAATCAAACATTTACTGGGCTTTCAGAGCTGCTGACCTCCTAGCCCAGAGCTAATAGCTTCACAATGCTACCTACACACAGTTCATCAGTGCACCTAACCTTACTCTGACCATCCTCAAAGCTCCCCACCAGGATATTCTCATAGCCGAACAAAAACAAACAACATCAAAAGCAATACTTTAGGCCTGAGAGGATGAGCTCACATGACTGCTGACAGACAGAGACAGAGGGACAGAGGGACAGAGATGGAAACAGAGAGGACAGATTGAGTAATACTACAAAATGGAGACCTCAGAAATAATATATATATATATATATATATATATATATATATCTGTGGTATATTGTCAACAAACTACATTAGATCAGCCAAGAGGGACTTTTCATTAAGTGAACTGCAATTGGGAAAGATGTGATATGCAAAATAATAATAAGTATTACAATACCCAGGTGCGGGTTGCCCATGCCTGTGATTTTGGTTGCTCAGGAGTCTGAGACCTGAGAATCATACTTCAAAGCCTGCCCAATCAGCAAAGTCCATGACACTTTTATCTCCAATAAACCACCAAAAATTCAAGAGTGGAACTATGTGGCTCAAGGGGTATAGTGCCAGTGGAGCAAAAACAGCTCAGAGACAGTTCCCAGGCCCCAAGTTAAAGCCCCAGGACCAAGAATAAATAAACAATACATATATGCATACATACATGAAAACAAAGAAATGAAATAAGGAAAAGCTCTAGCAGAATAAGGATATGAACAGTGAATATAAAAAATAAATATAAAAGGTCGGAGTCCAAGATGCCGCGTGGAAGCCGGAGCCGCACTTCCCGCGTGGCCCCACCGGCCAGGTGAGACCCTCCCGGGGTTTGGGGTTTGGAGCCGGGCCGGGTTCTCGAGGTCTGTCAACCTCGTGACGCAGAGCCATGCCCCTCAGATGAGAGCTGCACCCAGGCCAGCTCCTGCAGCCCAACCTCCAATGGCAGCCCCAGCATCTGCTGTGGGCTCTCCGGCAGCCACTCCCCGGCAGCCTGGGCTGATGGCCCAGATGGCGTCCACAGCCGCTGGTGTAGCTGTGGGCTTTGCTGTTGGGCACACACTGAGCCATGCCATCACTGGTGGCTTCAGTGGAGTTGGTAATGCTGAGCCTGCCAGGCCGGACATCACTTACCAGGAGCCCCAGGGAACTCAGCTGGCGCAGCTGAAATAAAGCAGTTTTTGGAGTGTGCCCAGAACCAGGGTGATTTTAAGCTCTGTGAGGGCTTCAATGAGGTGCTGAAGCAGTGCAGAATTGCAAATGGACTAGTTTAACCATGAAGTTCAAGTTGAAGAAATGGAAAATCATCTCTGATGACCAAGTTAATTTAACATGGAAATGTAATTGGTAGTGACACTATAGAGTATAAAACTATAAGTTAACTTCTTGTTAATTGCATAGTTGCCTCAAGAGTGGCCATGGAAGAGGGTATTGTAACTCTTAATACAGGTTCACTGAAATGGTATAGAGTTGGGGCTGACAGGTGTTTGTGTGGCCTTCATTGTTCTGATGTTATTTTGAGTTAATTATAATAAACTGATTTCTTAAAAAAAAATAGAAAAGGAATAGGGGCTGGGAAAGTGGCTCAGTGGTAGAGTGCTTGCCTTGCATACATGAGGCAAAAATAAAAAAAGCTGGAAGTGGCGCTGTGGCTCAAGTGGTAGAGCGCTAGCCTTCAGCTGAAGAGCTGAGGTACAGCGCCCAGGCCAAGTTCAGGCCCCACGACCGGACCCCCCAAAAACAGAAAAGGAATACAAATGCAATAAATTTATGCAAAATTCTTCAACCACACTGATAACTTGGCATATAATTTACTGCAAAACATGCATTGTTTCTATGAAACAAGTACTTATTTAAAACTGAAAAATAGTTACATATTATAAAATTGGTCCATTTAAAGTGAGAAAAAAATCCAGTGGTTTTTAGTGTATTCATACAATTGTGCAATTATAGCTACTAATAAAGCAGTGTAAACGGGGTAGTTTGTAAACTACAGAAATTTCCTCACTTAGTAGAATGTAATGAACAAGCTCACTGGTCTTTTCAGAGGTCTCTAATCTCAAAAGCTGTGCTTCTTAATACCATTATATTTGGGATTAAATTTCAACATAAAATTTGTAGGAAACAAACATTTGGATTACAACATACTTTCACACTTTTATCATCGCTACAGAAACTACTACCCCCATAAATAGTGGCTTCTCATTCCCAGCCATGGTAACCATTAATTGATTTTCTAAATGATCAGCAACTGAAATGACCCTGTGGGGAGGGGGTGTCCCTCTTCTCTGAGATGTGTAAGAATAGGTTGGCAAGCCAAAGTTACACTAGAGGTGGGACCTTACAAACTTTAAGTGGATAATTTCACTTTTTTTCTGAAGATATCTCTATTAATATGAGCTTTTAATTTTCACATACCTTTACTAACAAAATGTGCAGCTCACAATAAAAAGAATAATATCAATAGGATAGTGTATAAGCAAAATAAAATAACCAAACAAGGAAATAAGATTCCATGAATGAGGGCTGGGATGTAGCTCAGTGGCAAAGCGCTTGCCTAGTAAGTGCAATGTCCTAGGTTCGATCCCCAGTACCAAAAAAAAACAAAAACAAAAACAAAAGATTCCATGAATGAGATCTAGCAGAAGCCACAGATAAGCAAATTAGGCAAAAAATTTCAAAAACTAGAATTTAAGATAATCTCAAATTTAGAAAAATAATTTATCTTATTTGTTATGTTAATAGGAAGCCTCTATTATCTCAGCAGGTAAAAAATATTCAATACAATATCTCTTAACTGAAAAAAGGTTCAGACACATATAGAAGGTCCCATCATTAATTTTATAGTTATTTAACACTCTATAAAGACATATGGGTTGAAAGCTCAATATATTTCCTTTATGATTTTGAACAAAACAAAGCTGCTCCTATAGCCCCACTCAGTTGTATTATAACTCCTATCCTGTATAGTAAGGCAAAGACACATATAGTAAGGCAAAAAAAAAAAAAAACCAAAACCAAAACCACTGGAAAGGGGCCATGCATGATTGTACACACTTGTAATCCAAGCTGTTCAGGACGGGAAATAGGAAGACTGTGTTTCAGGGTTAGCCTAGTCAAGAAGTTAGAAAGAGCCCATCTGGATAAACAAACCATACTTGATAGTATATGGCTATAATTCCAGCTGTAGGACAGACATTGGTAGAGGGTTTCAGTCCAAGGCTGTCCCCTGTCAAAAAATGGGAGACCCTATGCAAAAAAAGAGTAAAGCAAAAGTGTCATTCAAGTGGTAGAACTGCTTAGCAAGGATGAGGCCCTGAATTCAAATCCTAGTAGTTCAAAGCCAAAGTAAAAACTTAGAAAGAAACAAAATTGTCATTATTTACTGAAATATTGTGGCCTATTTAAAATAGTCAAAATGAATGGATACTATGAAACTTAACAAACTGTATTATGAAAACTGCTACCTATTATCATCACAAAATAAAGAATTACATTTTTTATGTGCATGTATGTTAATCCTGAGACCTGAACTCAAGGCCTGGGCACTGTCCCTGAGATTTTTTGTTCAAGACTAGTGCTCTAACACTTTGAGCCATTGCTCCACTTCTGGCTTTTTTTTTTTTTTTAGTTAGTTGGCAATAAGAGTCTTTTCTGCCTGGTTGGCACAATCCTCAGATCTCAGCCTCTTATGTGTCTAGGATTACAGGCCACTAGCACTTTGGTCAGTTGCATTTTTTTCATTTAGAATTTTTATTTTTTTCATTTAAATCTTATTATAACCTTGATGTACAGACGGGTTAGAGTTGCATTAGTCAGGTAATGAGTACATTTCTTTTTTAACAGTGTCACACCCTCCCTCATTTTCTCCCACTTTTTCCCCTCCCTCAGTTGCATTTTTATATACCAAAAACACTCAGAAAGTATGTTAAAACCACCTGGGTACTGGTGGTTCATTCTTGTAATCCTAGTTTCTCAGAGGCTGAGATATGAGGATCTGAGGATCATGTTTCAAAGCCAGCTCAGGCAAGAAAGTCTGTGAGACTCATTTCCAATTAACTACTCAAAAAAAGCCAGTAGTGGTGCTGTGGCTCAAATGGTAGAGCACTAGAGTTGAGCAAAATGAAGCTGTAGGATAGCACACATGCTGTGAGTTCGAGGTTCCCCCCCCCCCCACCAGGCACACAGACACACGTACAGAGAAGTTA